TTACCAAGAGTACAGAAACACCTTACTTTTCAGACATGTTAGTCCAGTAACTAGCATTTACATGGTCACAGAAACTACATATACTATCAAAATAGTTCAAACCTTCAAGCTAAATAAGGGTGACACTAATCTACTCTCAAAATAATAATACTTTTCACTCAGGCTAAATCAGGACACAAGTTTGAGTTAGAACCTTAAACATAAATGAATGTTGTCCTTTTAAGGAAACCTAAGATAAATATTAATAGTTATTTGCTAGATTAAATATCGGGGGGAAAATGGAAGCAGAGAAGTCTGTCTTCTTAGTTTAAATAATCTATTATGTTCTCAGTGAATATAAGACATTTCCTACATAAGTAACATGGCCTGCTCTCAAAGAAGTTCATTTATTTTTATTTTATTTTTATTTTAAAGATAAAAGAACAAAAACATATTAACAAACACACATACATTTAGAAAATAACACAAAAACAATATAAGCAATACAGAATTTCAGAAAAAGTGATAGGAAATTAACAATGGTTGTTGTATTACATACTGATATCTTCAGATTGGTTACTCAGGTAAACAAATATAGGCATGTAAGATTGATCAAACAATTAAACATTAACTATTCCTTTCAATAAAGCAACAGAGGTCAGTAGTACAACTATGTTAGCTATCCTGTGTATACATATATACATAATTTTCCCTTTCTTTTCTCTTTTCTCCAATGGGATCATATCAGATTAAAAAGCTTCTGCATAGCAAAAAAAAAAAAAAAAAACAACAGATGAAAAGACAACCTATAGAATGGGTGAAAAGTTTTGTTAGCAATTCCTCAGACAGAAGACTAATATCTAGAATATACAAAGAAATGTCTAGAATATATCAAGAAAACCATATGCCCCCTAAAATAAAGGACCCAATCAAAAAAGGGCAAGTGAAATGAGTAGACACTTTATGGCAGAAGTACAAATGACCAATAAATACATGTCGACATCACTGGTCATTCAAGAAATGCAAGTTAAAACAATACAGAGATTCCACCTCATTCCAGAAAAGAAGGGCCATCATCAAGAAATCAAACAGTAACAAATCCTGGTGAAGCTGCAGGGAAAAGGAACTCTTCTTCTACCTTGTTGGTGGGAATGTAAGCTAGTACAACAACTACGGAAACCCAGTATGAAGATCCCTCAAAAAAAAAACAAAAACAAAAACAAAAAAAACCCTAAATATAGAAATTCCATTTGACCCAGCTATTCCCCTTTGAGGTATCTTCCCAAAGGAGTTAAAGACATCCCACTACAGGGATACCGGCACACCCATGTTTACAGCAGCACAGTTCCTAACAGTTAGCTAGATCTTGGACACAGCCTATCTGCTGTCCATCAACAGCTGAGTGGATAAACAGAATGTGCTATCGACATACAGTAGAGTTCTACTCTTTCATAAGGAAAGATAAACGAGGCATCTGTCAGAAAATGGATGCCCTGTGAATTCATAATGTAAAGTGAAATAAATCAGACACACACGCTTAAATATCCCATGGTTTCTCTCACATGAGAAGCCCAAAATATAAATAAATAAATAAATAAATAAATAAATAAATAGGTAGATAGCAAAATAAAAGATAAGAGGAAGTAGGGGGATGAATCTTTCTCAAATGACCTTTCTCAAAAGGGGATCCAGGAATGCAGGGAGACAAAAAGGGGATGAAAAACTGAATTAAAATGTATTGTGCACATGTAGCAGCTCCACAAAAGGGGTGTAGATCTTATGCACTGCACACATGCACTAAGAGAAATTTTAAAAATTAAAAATTTCAAAAACTGCTATAGGATTTTTATCTATGGCATCAGATTAAAGTAAAGCTACCAGATAAATTAATGTAAAAGTGTGTCACAGCCAGGCATGGTGGCACATGCCTGTAATCCCAGCACCCAGGAGGCTGAGACAGGAAGAACGCTGCAATTTCAAGGCCAGCCTGCCTGCATAGTAAGTTCAAGGCCAGCCTGAACTACATAGCAAGACCCTGTCTCAAATAACAAATCAACAAAAGAGTGGACTATAACTACTTCAAAGTCTACAGTGTTTTAGGCCCTGTCCCCTTCAGTGCTTTTCTGTTTCATTTTCAGAAATTTGAATAACTAGCTTTTCAGTAGATACAAATCATTCCACCCAAAAATTTAAAGTCTTTGAAACTACCATTTAATGAAAGACAAGGCCCAGGAAAAACTAAATTAAAATCTGAACACTTGCACTTTAATCAAGAAAGATAAAACCAAGACAATGAAATGTTCGGTTCCATCTCAGCAGCAGCAATGGTAACCAAGGAAATCACCATCACCACTGGTCACGATCACCATCACCACAGTGTCTACATAACGTGAGAGGACGTGGCCATTTTACACACATTCAGCTCCTGCTTCTCATTGTGGCCAGTTTTATAGAACACTTTCCTTAAGTGGGCATTTCTGGTGTTTTGCCTTAAAATGAACTCATTATTCAGGATGCCTAAAGTAGGCTACAGTGAAGATGATGGGAAAATTTCCCAGAGAAAACACCAGATTCAGAAGGTGACCAATGAAGCTGATACAAAGCACTGCCTTACTTCCATCCAAACATCCGCGCTGTGACCCTGGGCAAGGTACTAAACCTCTCTGGGCCTTGCTTCTTTACAGTAAGGGAAGGATAACATTAGTATTGATTATCATTTGTAACTGTTAACAAGGTAGAGTTTAGGATAGTGTTTGACACAGTGAGACTGCAATAAATGTTAATTGCTGTAATTCCTATTTTTAATAGACAAATGCATACTAATAAATAGAACTATTGGTTGTATAAGCTACCATATATCTTTACCACAACCATATCTTTATTCTTTCTTTTAGCCTGTGGCGCTACAATCTTATATGCTGGGTGATCTGTCCACTGGACACTTATTTTTAGTTACTATTTCAAGACTCTAAAGGTACATCACGATAATCAACTCCTTCTAAAATAATCAGGAAGCAAGCACAGCAAGCTGAGTGGCTTATTTTAGGAGAAATGATCACTGTTTTTCTTCCCAAATAAAACAATCTCTGTGACTACTGATGGTAACGATGCTTATCTGGAGGTTTTAAATGTGCAAAAACAGCACAGTGGTGAGAAACGTCTTCCTATCTCCTGCTCTTCCTTACTGTGAATTCTCCACAGGGACAGCCACATTTTCCACTGTACTCATTCTTGGACACAAACAGGACGCATCCACCTAGACTGGAAGCCTGATTACTATTTTTCTGCCCATTTTTTATAGTTCATTGAAGCAGGGAGCAGAAATGAAGACCCACTCTTTTCTCTACACAAATTCACAGAAAACTCGGAAAAACCCTAATTGTCTCACAAACCACAAAACAGTCAAATTGCACTATTAAAAAGACCGTTTTGAGAACTGTTATTTAATGTTTAAAATTTTGTCAGGATTCAATAGAAAACTCCAAGTTAACAGTCACTCGTAAGTTCTCCGTCTTTGAAGCAGCAAACTGCCACACAATTGTATTCTTGTCACATGAAATCTTTTACTTTACAAATCAAAAATATAAAAGTTTGGGAGTACAGTGAAGGAAGCAAAGATAGTTCCTTAACCTTCAAGCATTGAGATCCAAATACTGATTTTTAAGCCTGGAAGGAACTTGACTTTGAAGGCATTTAATAAAGAATAAACAGTAATAGTAAGAAAAACAACATTATGAAGTTACTTTTAAAAAAATCAATCTTCTCTAAACCTTATTATTAAAGACAAATGAAAACAACAATATGTCATTCTAATACCTTAAAACTGGAAGTACATTTGATCTGCATTCATTTTCCAGGGGAAATAATCTGTTGGTTAGGTTTGTTGTTTTTGTGGTGCTAGGGACTGAATCCAGGGCCTCGCACACCCTAAACAGATGCTCTTCCACTGAGCTATACCCCCAGCTCAGCTGGGAGTTCAGCAAACCTTGCTTTTATTTGTTCTCAGTACATCCTCTATGTGCTAAGTGTGCCATCCACTTTCACCTGTCTTTACCAGAAAGTAAACATACTGCATGAACAGCAGAGCACCACAGCAACTCCAAAGGATTAGACAGATCATACTTGTGCAGCAGACTGGATATTCAGGCTCCTCCAGCAGGGGCGACACCTGCCTCTGTCCCCTGCTAAGCTGGGATGTCTGCTTCCACTGCCATAAATAAGGCCAAACCCAATGACATGGAAACTGGGCCAGCACTGTAATCTAATGTTCCACTCATTATGTGTTATTGAAGCTGTCCAATAACAGACATTTCTTGCTACTGAGGAGCTTATGTAGTCCAATAAAAATTAATTTACTCCTAATCCTCCAGATCATGAACCTAACTAAGATCTTTATGAAACCAGGATAACAACATGGAGGGTTACAGTGTCTTTAAAAGTATGAACCTTTAAAAAAGATGTTTAGGGGCTGGGGATTTAGCTCAGCGGCAAAGCGCCTGTCTGGCAAGCGCAAGGTCGTAAGTTCGGTTCCCGGTACCAGAGAAAAACCAAAAAAAAACAAAAACAAATAAAAAAGATGTTTGCAGAAGAAATTAAGAAGTATGTGAAGACTATGAGAAGGGAAAGAACAGGAAAAGATTGCAATTCACCATTTAAAGAAAATTGTGGGAGACAAACCTTTGCAGCTTAGTTCAAAACACGGCTCTGGTCATACATGTCAGTTATCAGTCCCCTCAGATATGGGCTCCCTGATGTCAGTTTCAAGCTTTCCTGGGGCTTTTTCAAGAGCCTCTCTGACCTCTTGATAGCACCTCAGGGCCTAAGCCTACGAAAACCCAAATCCCAGGAAGCTCGAACTGCCCCAAGTACCCAGGTGTTACCCTCATATTTGCTCATTCAGGCTCAAATACTGTAGGACAGCTATTCTGGAAGGCTCTAAAAAATAGGTTATCATTTTGTTATACCTATTAGAAATGTCTTTCAGGAATAAAAACATTCTGTAAAAATGAAGAATTCCCTACCTTGAATACAGCAAGCTGCTGATTAATCGTCTCTATATCCATCCCGACGGGACCTTGTGACTCTTCATGTTCTTCAGCCTTTTGGAGCAGAGTAGAAAATTCTTTAAATTTGCTATAGAATTCTTCAAGACGCTCATGCATTCCTTCAACCTGCTCTTCTCTTGTGCGTGCTCGGTCTAGTAACTTGTTGCACTGTTTGCTTAAGGCCTCCAAGTCCCTCTTGATTCCAACAAGGTCAGGAGAGGCCTCCTCTGTGGCCAGCATCATCTTGCAGGTTTTATTGGCATTGTCGTTGCTCGCTATGAGGGCTCCTAGTTTCTTCATAAAGGCTTTTATAGCCTCCTTTTGCATTTGCAATGTTTCCACATCTCTCCCCACTGGAGCCATGCTGTCCAGTTCATCGTCAAACTCTGCAAACTGAGAAAACAGTTCTCGGATGGTATTCTGGAAATGTCCGATGCCCTGAAGCTTGGTTTCTAAAAATGAGCATTTTTCATCAACCTGCTGACTTAGCGCACTGTGCTCCTGAGCTAAGGTTTCTGCTTGTAATAAAACATCAGAGGTTCCCTTCGAGTCTGAGGCTTCTACCACGAGATCCTGAGCAAGTCTTCTGGCCAAATCTACCTGGTGCTTCAAGGTCTGCAGTGCTTTCTGCTGAGCCTGCAGCATGGTCAGGCATTTGTTACTGTAAGCCTGGGGCCCCAGGGAATCATGGACATCCAGCTGTTCCTTTGCGCACTGAAGCTGCCTGTTGGTCTCTTTAGAAACTTCTTGAAATTCTTTAAACTTTTGGGCTGTGTTCTCCAGAGAGAATTTCTTCCTGTGAAGTTGTTCAGTGACCGAGTCCACCTTCTGGATCAGTGCTTTATTCTCATCTGTAACCACCTCTTTATCAACCTCACAGACACTGAGCAGGCTGTTGGCTGTGTTGTTCAGCAGTTCTACCATACCAAAGTGCTGGTCCATTTCCTTCTGCAGAGACTTCAACTTGGAAATAGAATTCTCTGTTTCAGCAGGATCCAAACAAAACTTCACTTCCTCCAGGTTGTTCTGACATTTGTCTATCCATGGCCGGAGAGTCTCCACATGTTCTTTGTACTTGAGGGCTTTTTCAAATGCATCTTTTAACTTGTCTTCTCTTTCTTTCACTTGCTTATTAAATCCATCCCAACTGTTTTTAATCGTGGTGAGTTGCAGCTGAACGGCTGCCTTCTCAGAACCTTGTGTTTTCAGTAGCAGATTTTCACCTTCTGCAATGGTTTTTTCATAAATATTAGACTGGGCAGCTAAAGTCTGACTAAAGTCTTTTTGATCTGTAATTAATGATTCTAAGACTTTGAGTTTGGCTGATACTGGATGAGACTTCTTTTGCTCTTCTTTCTTTGTATCCAGCCAAGCCTGAAAATCTCTAGACATCTGCTGAAATTGATGAGAGCTTGCACATGCTGATTGGAGGTGCTGGACAAGATTTTCTAAAAGTGAAATTACAGACATGTTTATTTTACATCAAACGCTTAATTTAATCCATAGAAAGCCTAGAAAACAATGTCTGAATGAATGGACAGAAGTGTCTAAAAGCAAGGACTTTTGGCACTAACATCAAGAACTGTAAGAATGACTGACGTGGTGGACAGAGTATATATAGCAATAACAAAAGAGACAAGGTAAGAAGCAAAAAGCTGGAAAGAGAGAAAACAATGATTATGGAAATAAGGAAAAGTACATCACAGTGCAGAGGGTGGTCGGTCATAGCAAACACTTCCTGCTCTGCTATCATCCTTCCCACTCCGTGTGGGGAAGAGACGACCAAAGTCCTAGGCTGGGTTGACACTCTATCTCCTGGAAAGTCTGACTTTTTTGCTTCTATGACTTTTACAGGTAATAGAGTTTAACTATTTGCCCAGGGTCTTCTAGCTCTGAAGAGGTGAAGTCAGGATATAAATCCATACAGTTTCTATGTGCTACATTATGTTGCCTCTATGTCAAAAAAGGAGTAAGTCTGAAATGGTTGCCATAATCAATAAATGAATCAATCAATTAAAAATATAAATTGAGAGTTCTCTAAGAGTAAGACTTAGAAACTAGTGCTATGTTTCAAGTAGCAACAACATGTGTCTTCCTTCGGCAAGAGCCTTCTGGCTTCTTATAGTCCACTATATTCCCTCTAACAAAGACCAGCCCATCCGCCACAGAATTATTGCTGCAGCAGGTAGTGAAGAAAACAGAGAAACCCACGCATTGTCTGTGTTATCAATGACAGAGTAGACAGAGTAACAGTAGATGGGAGCTGGGATGTGGCTCTATGGTAGAGAACTTGCTGAGTCTGCATGAGACCTTGGGTTCAGTTCTCAGCACTAGCAATAAAAAAAGGAGATATGATGATGATCGAAAGCCTTTCTAATATCTAATCATCTGTTTTGGGGGGTGAACTTAGGTAATATCACATACAAATGTTTACCTCTTTTCAGAACCAACTTGGGATACCTCGCGTTTGAATGGGTCTCTCCTAAGCAGACTGCACCCACACAGCAGCTGTCTGGGGTGCGAGTGGGGTTTGTGCCCTGGCTCCTGTGTCACACCTGCACTGCACCAGTCTCCTTAGGGCCTTGGATTACTGGAAACAGTAACATAGGACATCTCTGCTATGTGTATCTATTTCTGACCAGCAAACACCAGTATTAAGAGAAGACAGACCTGCTTTCTGCTCAATTTCCTTAAATGATTTTAAGATGCTGTCCAGTTGCCTAGTGAGTTCTGCTTTCAGGTATTCCTCTTTCACCAGTGTTGACAGGTCCGCACAGAGCACCTGGGCCGCTTTGATCTGTGGTGTTTCCTGTTCTATTTCCTGCTTCAGCTTCTGGGCTGCTTCCAGCTGCTGGTTTACAGCGTCGGCGCAGGTGCTTGCAGCCAGGCTGCTGCTGAGCTTCCTCTCCAGCTCACTCAGCTTCTCTGAGAGGCTTCTCAGCAGGCTCTGATACTGTGTGCTTTGGACAATGGCTTGGTCAATTCGGTCACATCTGTCACTCAGCTGTCCCGTGAGGCCATCCCACTTCTGGGTCACAGCTGCCAGCTGCTCCTTTACAACCCCATGCAGAGAAGGGTCTTCTCCTGGCCTGCTCAGAATGCCCTGGCCGGCTGTCCTGAGTTGTTCATACTGAGGTTTCCGAGTGTCAAATTCTTGCAACAGAATCTAAGGTAAACACAAATTATTGTATAGTAAGTTATAGAAAACACAGCTTCAAGCATCCAAAGAGACAGAAATGATACTTATTTATCAGGTCTTGGTTTTGTTTTTTAGTTATCACTCTTGTAGTTCTTATTTTAAGGACAGTGCAATTACATTAAACTAATTGCTAGTTCAAAGAGTCACGGTAATTCAGAGAGAAAACACTTTGTCTAAAATAATCATATCTTCCAAAAGGAAGATTAGAATAAATCTATTTTGGTAGTCTACGTAAAATCAACAGAAGTTCACATAAATATTTCAAACATGAAAATATGAAGTTTATATCACCTACTATCACATTTGTCTTTTCCTACCCATGCTTTCTCCTTGCAAGATTTATGAAATAGTCCAAAATACTCACATTAAGAAAATCGCATAGTGGTAAGTGTTAGAATGTATCATGCTCACAATATATTGTTTTACAAAGTTTTTTCTTTATGTGTGTGGAGGGGTTTGAGACAGGGTCTTGCTTTGTAGCCCAGGCTGGCCTTGAGCTCATGATCCTCCTGCTTCAGATTCCCAAGTACTGGGATTACAGGTATGCACCACTATGCCTGGCAATAAAGTTTTTTAAACATAGGATTTACTGACATTTATAGCCTAAAGTTTAGCCAGAAAAATCAAGTTGATCAGAATATAGATTCAACATGACTCTCACTATAAAACAAATGACCAAAAATTTCTGTCTTTTGGTATATTTTATGTCTGTTTTTATTTTATATTTTTATCTCTTATACTTATCTATCTATCTCTGAAAGACTATTAAGAGCAAAGGTAAGTATTTCTCCCTGGGCATTTATTTTTATCTTTTGTTTTCATTCTGTTCAGAAAGTATCTATATTTTTAGCTTACAGAATCACCTCCAGCTTTAAAGCCGCTATTCCTACCTAAAGAAATCTAACTGGACCACAGTGGAGCTTCTGCCATTATTATGACTTCAACTTTATGGTTTTCCCTCCCTTTGTGCATTTATCAGCTGGGTAATTATGCTGGTCTATTGCACTGGGTTTCCAGGGTTCCTCTCTGCTTCCCTCATTCTCTGTCCCTTTCTAATTTTGTCTCTCTTCCCCTCAGGACTGACTGCATGAGTTTTACAGATTTCATTATCAATTACCTCAAACAAAATGAATAAAACCTCAAAGGAGTAATTCTGAACGATAAAATTATGGCTAGTTTCTTACAAAAATATGAAGTAAGTACATTAACAGTTCAGAGAAGGCCCTTTTTTAACATAGTCTGTACCAACCACACTCTCATCGGAGTAATCTGGGGACTTGGTCTACTCATGAGCTCAAGGAGCCTCCTCTGGGCCAACTCATGGCTGTAATTCTCTAAAATGCATAGCGTGGGGCCCCAAGAATTATAAATCCACTCTGAAGCAGATAGCACAGTGCTCAGTGCTGATGTGTTTATGGCAGTGTTGGTCTTGTTAAGTCAAGTTAACTTATTAAGTTAAGTCAATTAACTTACTGAATTCACCAAAGGAATACTACAAAGCAGCATAAATTATCAGCCTTGTCTTCCACTCATTTTCCATATCATAATAAAAATGATGAGACAGTAGGCTAGTGAAGAGAACAGTGGACCTAAGAGGAGCAGTTTAGACGGGAGAGGATGGGGTGGCAGGGTAACGGCCTAAAGAAGGAAAATCCTGAGCCCGAGGCAAATGATTAGGTAACACTCACCTGCACCTGCTGCTTTTGGGTGTTCAGCATATTTGGGTCGATGGACAACGGCCCGAGCACACTAACCATCAGTTCTTTTTCCACAAGCCACTGTTTTAACTGAGCTTCTACAGTCTGGAATTGGGTTAGATTATTGGAGGATTCTTCCAGCTTTTGTTGTCTATCAACTGTTAATTGGTTGAGTTCTTGCCACTTGGAATCTAAAAGAAAAGGATAACTTGGCATTTAGTTTTAATACACTTTGTATGACTATAGGGAGACTACATAAGATGACTCAAAATGATATATAATGGGCATCATTCCATTTTGTAACGCTTCTTGCATAGCCAATTAACAGTCTAATCTAAGAGGATTAACTGCATTTAATGCCACAGATTTTATAGACCTAGTGGTTGTTTATCAAGTGAAGTATAAGAATAAAATTGACAAACAATAACAACAACAAAAAAGAATAAAATTGAATCTTTTTAAAAAAGATACTGTTCTAACTGGAATGTTCCCTGAAGCAATCAGGGTCCTGTGATCTCTCGTTTCTCCCAGAATTCCTATAGAATCTGTTTACTCAACTACTAGAACAATGACTATTAATCCTTTTGGAGTATCAAATCTCCAAGTTCTATTTTTAACTAGGTGGCTCCAAAATTTGTATGTCTACCTGATCACCCTCTCCTATTCACACTGCTCATTAACAGCCAGCTGCTGGAAAGTTCCAGTAGGACATATCACCAGCTCTTTCAATTCAACATTTAAAAATGAAACTAGTATTTCTCTCAAAACTACTGAATTGTTTGTCTTGTACATTTCTTTCAAACGTTATCGTCTCTGCCATGTCACTACAGTGTAATAACTCTAAATGTTCTTTTAGGACCCTCCATACTATCCTACCTCCCTGATCGTAAGCCCTTAAACCACGCGGTAACTCCACTTCAGTCCTCCTTGTGTTTCGCCTAGAACAGTGGTTCTCAGGCTCCAGCTGCAGCAGTTACCTGAAGGGTCACGGGCAGTGACTTCCGGGCTCCTCCCCAGGGCTTCTGCTGCAGTGGGTTGGGTGTGAGGCTAGCAGGTTGCTCCTAGTGCTCGCCCTGCTCCCAGGAACCACCATTCCCAAGTACCAACCCGCCTTTTAACTGGTACCACTATTATTAGCGTTTCTCAGCTGCAATCCATTTGGTTCTAAAACACTTCCCTTAAAAAGGTATCAGTTTAAAATGAGGTGCCTTCCTGCTCAAATCCTTCAATACCTAACCCCTCCCCACCTAAATCAGTGGTGGTGAAACTATGGCACGCAGGCCGCAGCCGGCTGCTGGTTATCACAAAAGGGTTGCCACTGATTCTAGATGATCAGACCTGAAGACCCGCTTCACAATCTGGCTCAAGTCTACTGGTCTTAGAGGTTTCTACTGAGATGCTCAGAAGTCAAGGTTTACACATCAGAGCACTCAGTCCAGCACGTGAACACATTTGCTGTCTAGAAATGTTCATTAATGGATTAGTTACCTGAGAGATTCCTTCACTTAGCATAATATACTAGCAGACTTATTTTAATAGAGCATGATCCCTGAACTTATTCTAATGACATTACCCTATAACGGCATGTTCTAGTCAACCTGACCACAAAACAGTGCAACTGGAGCAGTCAGGATGGGGAAGTATCAAAGTCACCGGGAAGCTGAAATACACACTCCTGATTCCCACCCCTTTCTAAAATGTCTTGACGATGCTCTGCCCAACTAACTCTACCATCCGGGACAGCCACTGAGTTTGGGACAAGGTGGCAACAATGCAGTAGGATTAAACGTACCTTTGAACATTCAGACACTGTAAGCTGACTTTTTTTTTCAAACCAAAACATACTTACAGATCTCTAAACTACCACAGCAATCTGACTCAAAAGACTGGACAACATTTAATAAACATAATGGAACAACTGAAAGCTAAATACTTATAATGACTGATAGTACAGACTCAGATAGCTACATGCCACGTACTGTTCCTCTGAGCTAGACACACATTAACTTACTGAATTCACCAAAGGAATATTACAAAGCAGCACAAATTATCAGCCTTGTCTTACACTCATTTTCCATATCATAATAAAAAATGACGAGACAGTAGGCCTGTGAAGACAACTGTGGACCTATGAGAAGCAGTTTCAACAGGGAGAGGATGGGGTGGGAGGGTAACAGGAAAATCACCAGCCTTCCCCAGCAAGCTACTTTCAGTAGTGGGTGGGGAGAGAAGACGACATAAAGTGCGGGCTTGAGGAGTCCCAGGATCCAAACAAATGAGCAAAAAGAAATGAAACACTAATTGAAAGAGTTACTCAATGTGTAGCATCTTACTGAACAGTATCCACCTTCTTCATAAAAATAGTTACATGCCAATTCTCACAATGTAATTTGACGAGATCGGGCGCGTTCAGGGTGGTATGGCTGTAGACTCACAATGTAATTTGAAATAACACTTTTTTTTTGGCTTTTCTCTGGTACCGGGAATTGAACTCATGACCTTGCGCTTGCCAGGAAGGCGCTGTGTCGCTGAGCTAAATCCCCAGCCCCTGAAATAACACTTTTAAAGTATGCCAAAAACAGATTCTGAAATGTTAAAGGAACTCCAAAAACAACTGAGGCTACTGGATGTTTTCTGGTAAAGATTATCATAAAAATGAAAAATGACTGTGCTTCTGTCTATGGAATGGAGTGCAAACAATACAACGTACCTATTTCTGTCAATATCTGTTTCCATTTGGGGGCCTCCGGAATATCTGGATTTTCCTCCAACAGCTCTGTCAGTTTGTCCTTCAACTCCTGCACTTTGTTTACATTTTGCTTCAGTTCGGCCTCAAATGACTAAGGAAAAAAATAATTACACTAGAATACCAACATCAAAACACAAAAACACAATTATGATGTACTTTTTTTCTCAAACATGACTAAAAAAGGAAAAAAACTCCACTGTTAAATGCTAAAGAGAGTGAAAACCCAGTCAGCAGTCAGTTATGTGCCTTTCCTCATCTCTGCTAGTCTCCAGCTCTGGGATAAGGGAAGCTTACAGCGAACGCTCTAACTATGGAGATAATGACTCTTGTTCCCTTTACTGAGGGAGAATTTCATATTCTCAAACCGTTATGAGAAAACTAAGATGTAATAAGTTAGGGTATAATTGATAAAAAAATCAGTTCTGTTAAAGGCTGCCAGAATTTGAGATTCTACTAGGGAATAGTACTTTTGTGGATAACACAGTAAAGAGTATAAATATAGGTTAGTAACTTATAGAAATTTTTGTCATTATTACCACAATGGAAAAACATTTTCCCAATCTTGACAGCTCTAAGAAAGAAATACTATCTAAGAAAGGGGAGGCATTAGCTATCCCCACTTTATACTAATCAGAAGAGATTCCTGGTACAAAACTTTTCTAATAGTTGACTGGCTGCTACCCAAGACTGACACGGATTCAGAGGTCACTTACACCAAATACCTTGCTCATCTCTGTATGTCAGAGTGTATAAAAAATGACTCTCATCAATCTCTATAGAAAGGCACATTAAACAAAACTGTCCAATCACTGGCTGAAGGTTACAGATCTAGAAACCAGCACAGAGCTTCTGAAGCCTGGGCTCAGGTCTGGGTGTAATCCCTTCTCCTCCTGTCTCAGTGGGTCCACCAAGGATGTACCTTATTCTGTTCAAACTGAGTCTTCACAGCTTCAGAGTCGGCAGGTGCCGGGGTCTGGTGCCATTTTGCCGCTGTCTTGTTCATTTTCTCTAACCACTGCATCATCGAACTTGATTCTTCCTGAGCCTTCTGCAATTTGAAGAGCTTAGTATTCAATTCAGCTATTTTGTCCTTGAGTAAGAGGCCAAGATCTTCATAACCATGACTTATGTCAGTCATGTCCTTTTGAACAGATGTTAAACCTGGGAGTGAGAAAAAAACTATGCTGACATATGTCTGGGGTGTTGGGAATAAAGGTCTAGAAATAAAAATCTGTCCTACATGATATCCTTTTATCTTGGCTCTCTGAAACTGACTATGATAAATCACAGACATTTTAGAACTAAAATGCTAGTTCACCTTATAAGGCTATTTAATAACAATTCAGGAACATGCAAGTGAAATTTAAAAAGGTATTTTAAATGGAATAAAATATTCAAATAATAAAGTGCATTCCTTCAGTGCCAAACTCAATGTTATTCCAAGAGACAATATATCTCTAACTAAAAAGGAGGAAACCAGCAAAAGCTAAAATACTGGATTTTACTAATTTCGGATGAACAATGTCTATAGAAAGTTACATAAATATACTTATAAAGATTGTGACTATGTATTATATACTTTAACTTTTTAATATAGCTACTCTTCTTTAAGATTTTCCCTCAAAAAACCCACACTGCATTGATTAATAATCATTTAAAATTACTATTCACCTTTATTTGTCAAAAAATCCTGTGTATTTGTGTCTATTCCTTCACCATTTAATATTACTCCACCTGCAAAAATATGAACACCGAATTCATCAGATTTTCCTCATATATCTATACCTTAACAGCATACGTCACTACATCAAACCCTATAAATAGTAATCATTTAAAAATGTTATTTTGCTTTTGGGGGATACCAGGAAAAATGTTATTTCTTTGTTTTTTTTTGTTTTTTTTTTTGTTTTGTTTTTTTTTTTGTTTTGGTTTTTCTCTGGTTCCGGGAACCGAACTCACGACCTTGCCCTTGCCAGGCAGGCGCTTTGCCGCTGAGCTAAATCCCCAGCCCCGTTATTTCTATCTGAAATGCAAAATATTAATTCAACTTCCAGTGAAGGTCCCTGTACCCTCTCTTCTGTATAGACTGTGTTGGGGGGGCTGCTGAGGACCAAGCCCGCTGTCTTGCACATGCTAGGCAAGTGCTCCAACCCCGGGCTACATCCGCCACCCTATGAATTCAATTCTTAAGGTATAATATGCTCATCTTTTAAATACGAGAGTTCTACTCATTTAGATGATATAAACTAGTCATTAAATCTCCACAACAATTTCCCCACAAAGTTGCTCTATAACTAAAGTTGTCCCAGTGATACAGTCCCTGAGTTCAGGAGATGCGTGGGGCACAGGGTGTTGAAGGAGGCATGATGACGGGCATACGAAGAGCGCGCGCCTCATCCTAGGACTGAGCTCAGCCTGGACGGCCACCCAGTGCTGCCGCAAGCTTCATGGAGGCAGAGTGGTTTTAAAAGTCGGGACAGAAAAGCCAAAAATGAAAGCAAAACCCAGAGTGAGCGCAGCAGTTGGGTGTCTAAGCTTCGCAGTACGGAGCAGCTGAGTTAAAATCCCAGCCCTACAAACCCGTCCACCAAGCTGGGGGGATTAACAACACCTAACTCGTATGGCCACTCAGGACCACGGACAGCCCACTGCCAACAAACTACTCAGAAGGTAGCAACTATTACAGGGTTTCGCTTTCATTTTATAATCCTCTAGCATCAGCACCTTTTTATAATCAGATATCTTAAAAATTGGTTATACTTTCTCATACTAATATCCATTGGCCACCTATCCAAAACAGACACTTATCAAACTGACCACACAAGAACAAGGTGAAACAAACAGAAGCATTTAAACATTTAATCTTGAGTTCTGTCTCTTTAAAAATGTGACACACGATGTCATCTCATAAGGAAATGAAAAGTGGAAATAACTTATAGCTGTTCAAGACTAATTCCTACCCTAGCTGGCAGTAATTAAGACTCAAACAAATATTTTAAAAATGTATTTATTACAATATAAAAGCAACATGAGGAACTAAACTAAGATAAAACACAAAAGAATTCCTTTTCTAAAAAAAAACAAAAACCACGAACTTGACATTTCAGGAAATCTGATTAGAAGAGAAAGCAGAGGTCAGCACGGGACGTACCATCTGGGCATGCCCTGAGACAGGATCAGCAGAGTGGAATACATGGCTGGCAGAGAAAGGCCTGGCTAGAACATCAGTGTGACAACAGGGACAGCTGCAACAGGGTCGGCCTAACAAGCCTCAGCAGGCTTCAGGAACTCCTGAATCAATATACGTGATGTGCCTTCTGCCTATTTTATTTAAATCTTGATACACTGTGTTTTTAACTAAAAACTATGCCAACTTACCTACATTAATTTTAGAATCAATGTTTACACCCGGCTCTCCCCTTTTGTTCAGAAGAGCGGGTCCACCATGACTGAGACAGTGAGGTGGATATGCCAGCTGACACCCTGCAGAACTGCTTTGTTTGCAGCAGAGCACAGGATAAAGCTGCTGGGAATTAAATGAGAGAGCTGCCCTGAGGAACAGAGCCCACCTCCTTCTCTCACTTTATTCCCAAGAGAATAGATTCATTTCACTATCAAATATGTGAGTAGAAATACTTCAAGTAGAGGGTCAGTATCTCCATTTAATTGAAAAAAAAAAAAAAATAGAGTCTGATCTGTCCTCTCCCCCAAAATAACACTCCTTATTCTTACATATTAATCTAGATACATTTTTAAGTACAGTACCTAATAAAATGAAATATGGCAGGAATTTGAAATTGAATTAGCACAGACACTTTACCAAGACAGGTTTTAGTGTGTTTATATCAGCTTTCTTGTCCTGTCACTCCACTTTGTATTTCTGAGGTTATTTTATGCATATACTATCAAAGGTAACATGAAGTAAACATAGGTGGCCCCAATTCTTACAGGCCTACTGTAAACAAAGTGCATACCTGATTTCACGGCTGCAACTGCCCTCGCAGGGGTGGTCACCGCACTTATGAGGTTACATAGTGAGACGCCACTGTTGTTTACTTTCTGAATCTCTGGTGTTTTTAAACTCCACTTTTCTTGTAATTTCTTGAGATAGGAAAACACATTATTTTTCAGTTTTCATATCAAAGATGCACAATATAATTCAATTTCTTAAACATTTTAAAGCAGTAACAACTGTAGGCTCCGGTTTGTGAGGGAGTCAGTGAGAGAGAAAAGTACCATCTTCATCTGCCCGTGTGGCCCAAGGCCCTGTCAACCCTGGCCGCAGTGAGGAGCGGGTGAGGCCCACACCGCGCTCTGCTGCCGGCCATGGTGGAACGCGCTGTGCCCAGGTTCCAAAAGTAACTGTCAACTGTAGGTCTGCCCTGGGTAACAGCCACGTTACCAGACGAAATGGACATGGGGACTCAATTCCATGTCACGGCGAGTTTGAACCATCAAAATTTCAGTGAATTTTAAAAGTACACATTTCTACAAATTTGGAAATGAAAAACTGTCACAAATGATTATGATTTTTAATGACTTAGAGTCAGATACGAAAAAGACTCACTTTCTTATCTGTACAGGAGACTCAAGTAACTCCAATATTTCACTATCTGTTAAAGTGATATACCCAACCTCGAATCAAATTCTGAGTAACAGAGGGATCTCTGACTTACTGCTGCGAGAAAGGGTATCAAAAATAACTAAAACTAAGTAGGGATCTCACAAGGGAGGAAACTTGCATTCTAGAACACTTAGTAAAAAAACTAACTGAAAGTATTTATACTCTTCCTCAAAAGGATGTTTATATGTTATAATTTCCAAAAATCACGGAAATCTATCGCACATGTATGAGACCCAAATTACATGATTTTAGATCCAAGGAAACTATCTTCCATTAAAGGCAAATAAGGTCAGTCTCTGATTCAATGAGTCACCTTTGCTTCTTCCAGAGATTTTCCTAGATCTTCTGCACCAAACGAGGGCTGTAAAATGGGAACCTGCTCTGTTGTTTCTTTTATCCATGACTTTAGGGATTTAACAAGGACTCGGAAAGCTTCCAGTTGTTCTTGACAAGACGTTACAGCTTCTTTTCTAGTTAACAAAAATCATAAAATTTAAGCCAGAAGAGGAGAAGTTCCAAAGGACAAATTACTAATCAATAATTTCTATTCTCATATTGGGCTTAATATTGAAAAGCACTCTCTATGCATAGTATCACCCTTTGATACAGGAAGAAAATTTTCAGACTTGACAAAAGAAGTTAAATAAGTATCCCTCAAAGTAAAGAGAACAGTCAAAGAATCTGTAATCCATTTAACATCATTTAAATTCAGTGAGCTTTGTTCTATCCATTACATGATGCTTAACGCCAGCATGCAAAGAACCAGAAAGGGAACCGATACAAATTCACCCACACACAGTGCCACCTAGAGGTTTGAGCCCTACCCTGCAGTCACACTGGACGGGTTGAACAGTAAGTAGTCAGGGAGCTAAATCAGACCTAGTGACTGGAGAGTACTAGTAGGAACCTCCCTCATGGACTCAGGAAGCATCATAGTGAATTACAAGGATCTCTGTGTGTACTCAGCACCATGAAGGAGCACAGGAACACAGCATATGCACTGTGAGGACAGCTCCATGTGTCATGTGAGTGACCCGTGCCCAGAGGGTGCTCCGGCAGACAAGACTGCCCTGCAGCTGCATGAATTAGTAACAACTACATGGTTTTAAAGTTGAACCCATTTGAAAGACTAAATAACCTAAAGATTACCAGAAAATCAAGAACATTTCTTCAGTGAAGTGTGAATTACATGTTATATAACATGATAAAAACATAGCGATATGAGCAGCATGAATCATATCTAGATGTTCTATAGAATTCCAAAGAAATTAAAGTAGCTGAAAAGAAAACTGCTCTTTTCTCTTTTAGGGGCTTTTCCACATGAGCGTTAGCAAAGTCAGGTGTGTATGCTAAACTGAACTGAGGTCAGGGATACAAAAGTTCAGTTACAAAGCTTTTTAGTTCAAGTTGGTTCATTCTTTTGTTTTTTCACAAACTCACGGTTCACCCAATCTTAAAAAAGTAAACTATTAAACAAAAAAGGCGATGAAGAAATGGCCACATTAAATAATGTATAGCTTCTGAAATGGCCCACAAAGCAAAGAACCATGCACTTTCAAGGTTATTTTCATCTTTGCAAATAAAAATGTGACATTTGCCAAAGGCTTCAGAACCTACTGTGAGGTTAAAATGTTTTCACTAATATGTTACCCCTGCAATTTGCCTATGAATGTTTTCCACTTTTATAGAGGAAACACTGAGTTTTCTTTTTTTTTTTTTTTGGTTTTTCTCCGGTACCGGGAACCGAACTCACGACCTTGCGCTTGCCAGGCAGGCGCTTTGCCGCTGAGCTAAATCCCCAGCCCCAACACTGAGTTTTCTTTCTAAATGTTTTAGCAAATAATGTACTTAATTTTTATAGAAAAAATTATCAAAATATGAGAACACTTAAGTAGCCCTATACTTAAAGTTTTATATACTTAAGTTTTCAAATTTTTTTAATTATCAATGTAAGTAAATACAAATTACTCATCTAATTAGTATCAAGACAAATAAAATGCATTTTTAAAAGTGGTACTTACTTTTCTTTGATGGTATCCTCCATTTCTTTGAATTTCTTAGACAAATTATTTGTTTTTTCAAAAACCAGAGCCTTATCACCTGGCAAGCCATGGCTGGATATCTCCGTCAAGAGATTATGCAAAGCTTCAAGATCTTTCTTGTGTTCTAAGAATTCAGAAGTTGATTCCTACAAAATATTTACAGATTTAGTCTGTTTAAATGCTGCTATATTGTCAAAGGACCCATAGGTAAGCAGAGGACCAGAGCGCTCTACTGAGAATGCCACAGAGGAACACGTCTCGCTACGGTTAACATTAGATACAATGAACACATAGATAGGCTACCTGAAAAATAACAGTAAACTTTACTTCATTTTAAAATTCACTCTGTATTTGACTCTCAGTGGGTTCTGGCACGTAAGATAATATATATAACATCCATGATAATTGGTATTTATTTCTATTAAATGGGCAAGGGTAAAGGAGAAGAGTTTGAAATTTACAAAGAAGGAAAACATCCATCTTTATTAATTGATAAGTGATCAAAATGACACCTGCCCATTATAACTCTGCCAGTCAATGTATGAGTGTGTCTTAATTACTGATTAATTAAGCTCCGCCTCAGAAGTACTATGAAGACTTGCCTGCATATACTGAGACAATTCAGCAACATCTTTTCCTGGCACATCCACCTCAGTAAGGGCCTGAGATTTTGTTTCTAAAAATGTCTGGAGCTTTCCGGAGAGGCTTTCAAACAGTTCTACTTTAGTTTTCAGCTCCTCCATCTTGGCAAGTTTTTCTCTGTGTTTCTGACTGGCTTCTGAAAACCTCTTGGACAGGTCCTTCATTTTAGCCTGTAGTGAGGAAGCAGTGGATGGGTCTGTTGTTTCCATAAATTTCTTCACTTTTTCATTCATGGCATTTATACTGCTCTGACGGCCGGTGATATCCTGTTCCAACATCTGAAATAAACCAAATATTGCACATGTTTTATAATGTTTACAAATAATGCCAGAGTTTTAAAAATTATTATTCATAACAACATACATTTGAAACACCTATGACTAACAAGGCTCACATTAGAACTGAAAGACACGTTTGATTTGTCCCTCGAGGGATCCCGTTCAAATCTCTTGGAGGGAGGGTGGCGAACAGCTGGCTGGTTGTGCAAAGAGGCAGGGGGCTGCTGCTATTCCACAACCCTGGGACCTAATGGAGCCTGGGGATTACGCACGGCCCTACATTTTTAAAAGGCTGGACAATAAGACTGATCGGCCACACTTCACCAGATGAGCTTTCTGTGCAGCTGGCCTCAGCATGACAAGATCAGATCCCACGTATGCTAAGCGCTCCACAAGGAATGACAAGCAGACAAAGCCCCGTAGGCTCCACCACAGAACAATCACCTTACACACTCAAGTCTGCACTTTTCATACTGTTCTAGTCAGAAGTTTTTTGTTATATCCTTAAATTTATCCTAAATCTACCTATCTTTAGTGTTAACAAAACTTTTTAAAAAATTGTTAAGTGGAAGCATGTTTTTTTTTTAGTATTTTTCTTTTTAAAATAGTACTTACAATGTTTTTGCTGATGAGATCCTGAAGCGCAGCAGAGTTTAAGGGCACCTGACCCTGTTCCTTCAGAGAACTCTCCACACCTCCCATCCAGCCCAGCATCTCATCCAGGCCGTCCTGCACACTCAGGGAGCGGGTCAGGGTTATCTGCAGTTTTTCATTTCGTTCATTAACAGACTTGGACAGATCATCATATCTCCCAACAATGTCATCTAGTCAAACAGCAGGAAACGTTAACCACAAAGGGCTCTTTGCCCCATTCACTTTCTTAAAAATACACCAAGGTGAACTATAAAGCTTCTATACAAAAATTGGAGAAGGAAAAAAAAGTTTAAATGCTAAATTTATAATGTATAATCAGGTTACTGTCGAAAACCCTAAGAAATAAAGAAACAAATTAGTAGAAAATACAATGTTGGAATTTTAGAAAAGAAAACAAATATATCAGTGCTATCTGAAAGAGATTTCTGGATGTATAAATCTTTGAATTGCCCCAGAGAAATGAGAGAGTGTCTCAAACATGAAACTTCTACAATAAATACTACGTTTCATTTAAAATTAGCAGTACCTGTTGACAACTATTTAGGGGAAAAGTGACAGTCATACAGAGGTAATATCAAGAGAATACACAGTGATAAAAATTTACCAAGAATTAACCTTTAAAAATAAAAATTATCACCCTCTGTTGTACACATAATGCTAAGCTTTTGTTATCCTTCATAACCTCAGAAAGTACTCAAATGCACAAAAATTGGCAGATGAAAATCAAGTGAGGAAATACAACACCAATGAAAATCCACTTAAAACAGATTATACTTCTAAAATATACATAAACAGAATTTACATAAGTTTAGTAGTAGAAAAAGTTGGAAAAGGAAAATAAACAGACTAACCTACACCACGCAAGATAAACTTTACTTTCAATTCTAATTATTAAGATGATAAAAAATCCTTTCAACAAGTTTAAAGGGCAATGTTTTTAATGCTCCTCCCCCCAACCCTCTTTGGAAAACAATCTGCTTTTAACTGTGATTTTATTCACAACTTACTGTCCAAGCACCTGAATTCTTTGTGAATACTTTAGCCTGATATAAAGTTGTGATCCAAAACTATAAATGAAATATCTTACATACTGTGCTTGGCTGTGGAATATAACCCAAATAACAAAACAGTATTTTTTATTGTCCTAGCATGACATCATGAGAAAGTCCTAGCATGACATCATAAATTTTTAGACTGAGGAGGGTAAGTTAACGTGATCAAGAGAAAGCATCATAGCCCTCGCTAAAACACAACTGGGGCCCGCACTCTCCCGGCATCCATGCAAAGGGTGAATGCCAAGTGGGGAGTAGCAAGGCCTTCAGTGTGTCAAGATGTGACAAGCAGAGGTTCAAGTCCTAACTGAAAGACTCCAGAGCCCTAACTTGCAGCCTGCGATTGTCAGGTGAGCTGGTGTGAGCTGCTCCTAACCGGGCTGTGGCTGGGCATCAACAAGAAGAGTGACACCAGTGACCTGCTCAGCTGTGATCCCCGATTCTCTGAGCAGAGGCAGCGAGACTCACAAAGTGACACACTGTGAGCATTCCTGTTTGCCGTGGACAGCAGTCCATGCTGTCTCGAGATGCACATGTGGACACCTCCCCGCTAAAGTGATCCTACCTGGAGTGGCCTTTGGAAGGTGTGATGCTGTCATATGGTGATGTAATAAGAAATACATATATACACTGTCTGGCCATGGTTCCCGAGGTACAGCTTTAAAATTCTCTTGTAATTTCCAGAGCAATCAAAAGCACCAGAAGACTGTTTTCTTCTGATATTGGGTCCTTAATTAACCCCAAGTTCCTGATGCAGAGCTCCTGAGTCTCTTGCAGTTTCCTGGGTGACAGGACTGTTTTTCATTCTAAAGAGGTGACTCTGGCAGGTTTCTGGATGGCCTCGGGATGGGGGCTGGTTGCAAGGGCAACTGATGATGGGATTAGAAGACTGGAACTTTCAGTCCCACTCATTGACTTCTGTCCAGGGAGCAGAGGCCATGAAGTTTAGCTGAGGACCTAGCCAGGCATGCTCATTGGGTGAAACCCAACAGAATCCTGCAAGGATGGGTGCCAGGAGGTCCCTGGTGGCCTTCCTCATAGAGCTTCTTGGAGGGTGCAGACCCAAAGAAGATGCAGAAACATGGGTCCCTCTTCCTCACTCACCCTCGCATCTCTCCCATTTGGCTGCTCATCTGTATTCTCTACAACACCCTTGTGCTAAACAGGTGAGTGTGAGTATAGCCTTCCTCTGAATCTGCGGAGTAGGTGATAGGGACCTGGGTCTATAGCTGTGTAGGCCTCCGCACAGGTCTCAATCTAGAACTTGTGACTGGCATCTGAAGTGGGGAGCAGTTGGAGCACTTGGGGCACTATGGGATCTGATACTATCTCTGGTAGACAGTGTCAGAAGTGAACTAAGTTAGGACACCCGGCTGGTGTCTGCGGGAGGTCACCTGGGGTATGACATGGTCACACAAGTCTTCTGTGTGGTGGTCAGTGGGATGTGAGAATAGGAAACGCACTTCCACTTTCCCCTTCTCCCCGGGGAGGTGACCAGGTTGCGAGGGTGGGCCCCTCATGAGTGGGATTAAGTGGGCTTTACAAGAAGGACTCCAGGGAGAGGCGCTCTCTCCACTGTTCTCTACCACGTGACAGTACAGCATGGAAGTGGGCATCTGTACAACAGGGGCAAGGCTCCTGCCAGAAAGCTGACTGCACCGGTGCCCTGGCATTGAACTGCCAGCCTCCAGAGGCATGAGAAACCGATGTCTGCTGTTTTAGCTGTCCAGTCCATGGTATCTTTGTTATAGAAGCTTGAACTGAGTTTACTCTGTACTTACTGGTGAAAAATACTGTTACTGAAATAAAGTCTTGACTTTAGTGACTAAAATTATTTTAGATAAAGTACAAAACAAAATCCACTCTAAGAAAGTTATTTTTTAAAGTTGCTGCTTTCCTTATAATTCAGAAAGAAAATGAGGCCAGAAAGCAGCTTTCAGGTCTTAATGTAACACGAAATTTAAACAACTCAAAATGAAACTATGTACAATTAAATAGGAAAAATGTCAGTCTCCTCAGGTAACAGAAATACAATCAAGGCACATGTTATGATAATATGGAAATATGTACATACAGTTCCTAGATGCATGTGCACATACGGAGCAAGCTGAAGTTACTGATAGGGGCACATGCTCAAAAGAGTCTGGAAGACTGCAAGGATGATACAAGGATTTCCCTGCTATAGAGCAGCTTTAGAGCAGTGAACCAAAGTTTGAATCCTGTTCATATAATTTCTACTCAGATTCTAATTCATTCTCTGTCTGAGGGAAAGCAGTAGTCATCTGCTATGAGAATTACTATTTCCCATATGCATGCACACAAATACACAGTAACTCCCACAGACAGCATTACTATTTCACAGAGAAAGGTCACAAATAGTATCTAACTGTGCAATTTTCTATGTATCTCTTAGACTGTTGAGAATTTACATGTGAGGCAGTACACAAAAATACTAAATCTCTTACCCAGTGTTTTCTGGATATCATCCTTGGCAGGAAGTAAGGACCCCCTGGCATCTAAAAGTACTTCTGCTGTTTTTTTCAGCTTCTCAACAGCAACCTGCTGGCTCGATATCTGTCCTTGCAGAGCCTATGGGATTAAATGTTTTTCAATTATACTTAAGAGGACTAAATAATAGATTCTAATACAGAAAAAAGTGACTTATAATAAAACAAACAAATAAAACAAAGTCAATTTTCCATTACAGAAACTTTCATCATATGGACTTTCTCTGCAGTTCTCAGAATAAGGCCATTATAACGCAGCATTTGCCTGAAAAGCATCAGCCAGTCTGGACAACGAAAACTCAGTTTTGAAATAAACCACTGAGTACCGGTTCATATTAATTTTCCTGTTCCTTGACTTTATAGCCCTCCTCATTTTGCCTAAGTTCACGACTTATACACTCTGCACAGCACCCACACTATCACCAGAACCAAACCAAACACAGAAAACTTTGTGGAACATTTCTGACTCCAGGTGAAGACATAATTAGGGACTTCTGTGTCAACAGATCCTGATTTCATACTAAGCCATACTTACTTCTATGAATTCAATACAAGTTACTACACATCTAACAGATTTTCAAATGCCTTGCTATGTTCTGTAAAAATACAAAAATGAAACAGACAGGAGTCTGATGGCCTATGGTAGAAAGTGTTAAGTGTCAAAGGTGAGTAAGTACAAGCATCCTGGATGTGGAGAGGAAGGATAACCAGGTAGGGAAATGAAGGCTACCACGATGGTGGTGCCACTGAGCAGGTCCTGCAAAGTGTGGATCTGCACCAGCAGAAATGGAGAAGGAGAACATGCAAAGGCACAGAGACAGGACAGAAATATCTCAGGAGAAGAAGAGTCCTACACCCAGCTTAAGGATATATATGGTGAATAAATACAGAGGTAGAAAGGCCTAAAAAGTCAGGCTGAGCAGTTTACATTTTATCTGGGAGCAGTGGGGAACTATTAAAGACTGGAGTATGCAGTGAGCATATGCTAAGAACTGACCTACAGGAAAGCTGCATCTGTGACAATGCACGGGGAGATTTCAGGGGAAAGAAAGGAGGAAGAGATACCAGCTAGGAGCAACCTCAGCAGTGACAATGCAAGGAGGGCTCCTGAGGACTCTCCCCAGGCTGCCTGACTGAGACAGTGGAGTTAGTTCCAGAACTAGAAAGTCCCACGAGGAAGGTCATGTACCTAAAGCTGTGCTGCCCAATACAGTAGCCACTAAATAAATCCATGTGACTTTTAGATTGAAATGCAATAAAATTAAAAATTTCTCAGTTGCACCAGCCACACTTCAAGTGCTAAGCAGCTTCTGATGACTGGTGACTACCACACAGAGAAAGCAGACAGGACATTTTCATCATCATGGATTCTCTGCTGGTCAGCAGGGCTCCAAAGGGTGGGAATCAGGGTGAGGGGAGAAGACAAGAGGAACAGCCGCAAGTTTTCCACCCTGCCCAGGTAACATGCAGAATGTGTACACACAAATGAGAGCAAGTTTAGGAGAAAAGGAGAACCTATTTTGGAGTTCATGATCTCAAAGTGCTCTTGAGACTTACACAGAATGAAAGAGCAAAACTGGCAGTGGAGGAACTCTGAACTCAAAGGGAACTAGATACAAAGAGGCGGGAGCTGGGACCATTAACGGAGAAAGCCCAGAAGTGTCAAACAGGCTATAAAGACTCCCAGGGGATACTTGTATTTATGCGATGGGGAGAGGGAGACAGAACAAACGCTATAAAGGAAGTCAAGTGGACCCAGAGTAATGCTGACCCCCTAGCTAAGTACCCAGGTACCCAGCCTGCAACTTCCTCAGACTCCATCTTCCGAATACAAATCCCAGCATCAAGTCCTGAAAACTTTACGTGTGAGGTATAAACAGACTCTGCTCTATAACCCACGGGGATTATTGAGAAAAGACTCCTAAATGTGCTCCTGCCTCCAGTGGTTCCCCTAGAAAAGCCCTTCACATATCCACTGCATATCTGACCATATATCACTTCTCTATTTAAAACTGTCCAGTAGCTTCCCCTCATAATAAAGGCTAAGATTTGAGAACACTGTGAAGAGAATGAAACCTACCCCTTCACGTGGATCTTTCTCAACTTCCTGCACCAGAAACGCCCAACCAGCTATGGCTTGGCTGTTTGTTTACGCGAGACCTAGTGCCTTCTATCTCCACTTACCAACATTTTCATGCAACTTCCCTCACTCCCTTCATCAGCCTTGCTCCTGTTCACCCTGCAGTACTCAGCCAGGAAGTTTTTCCTAGTTCTTGCCTCACCTACTTGGGTTAAATGTTCCTCGTAGAAGGTCCTATAAATACCCACGAATACTAATGTAATTATCTGTCTCTTATATCAAACTACAGCCTTCTTGAGAACTGGGAATTTATCTCATTCAGCTTTCAACAGCCATGCTTAGGCCTGAGCTTGCCTTATAGCAGGCCTTGTTAGAAGTTTCTAGAATAAATGAGTAAATTAATAATAAAAGCAAATATCAAGCATAAAACCTAACAAGATCACGTTCTATTTCAGCATTATTAATTAATGCTTCTTAAAATACATGCCTCTCACTAATGGTAGCATTTTCCTTAACTAATTTTTATAATATAAGAACCATGCGACACTTAGGCAGGTCATGTATATATGGGTTGAAAGACCCACCAAAGTATGCCTTACATGGGATCTGATATCTGAGTACAGATTGCATATCTGTTCCCAGAGGCCAAAGAAGCCAGATCAGAGTGCATCTATTTGGGAAATCCTCCCAGAAGGTTAGTTAAGAAAGTAGAAGAAATCCCATAGATGTGAACTTTACTCAGAAGCAGACTGAAGTCCAGGCCATGCGGCATGTTCATTTAGAAGATGAAATAAAGTTAAGGGTATCCATACATGCTGTTTTTTATAAGTGAATTCTCAAAGCAGAAAGACAGGGCTTCAAAATCTTGTCTTCACAAAACTTAAAAATGGGCCCAGAACATACTGAATGATTAAATATATGTAAGAGTTATCATAGTTCTATAAAAACATCCAATATCAAATGGCCCTACCTATTATCTTAAAACTTAGCAATAATTACAGAAGAACTATCTCTTTTTTACTTCTTTTCCTCAAAATAGCCTATGCCTTTGCTCTCCATAACTATGGACAAGAGTTAAAAGTTTTTATTCCTAACATGTGTTGGGTTATAATTTCATGGAAGTGGTGTTTACAGTACTACTTTGGAACAAAACTGCAAATTAAATCAAATACACGCTCCTATCATTTTGAGTAGATTTCAGTTAAATTAAAGCACTGAGGAAACATCCATGATACGGAATGCTACACGCTGATGACTCTGGTCTCTTCCCTGCTGTGAGCGCTTGGTCAGCTTAGAACATTTTTCCAGCTTCACACTGGCCTAGAGACCGACGGGCTGCAAAGGCTACCAGCAACACAATCTGGCCCCCTGCTGTTCCAAACCAGGGGCATGGTTCCCAAGTCCTGTCTGCGTACCTCCTTTATAAGGGGCTGAAATCTTGTCTTATCAGCAATTTCTCAGAAGAGGATTCTGAGGGTCATTCTAGCCCAGTAGTATCAAACTGTTGATAATGCAGCCAACAGTTTTGTTTTTAAAAATAATAATGCTAGTAACAACAGGCTAGTGGACAGAAATGTTTCAAACAATTAATTGGGTGTCTCAGAATATAAGTAGAAGTTAGTAGGTTAAATACAGAAGAGATTTTCTTGCAATAGTCTTAAGTGTTTATATTACTAAAAGAGAAATAATTTTAAATATTAGTAAAAAAAAGCAGAGACTGCCTAATATCTATAAAAATTTATCCTTACTTCATAGAGAACATCTGTGAGAAAAATATATACATATGGCAGAAATAACTTCAACTGCACATAATTTTTAAAATTAAGCCGTACCTTAATTACAATTCATTCTCATTTGAGATCTTTCCTTTTTGTATTTCTGCTGTCTATGGACTAGTGGAGACTTCTTTGGCGCTAAGTTCTCTGTTCTAAAATTCATAGCTGCATCAATTTAAAGATCTCAGCATTCTCTTCCAGTTTCCTTACTTATTCTTTCTTTTGCTTGGATTATATTACTTTTATCTAGGATACAATCCACTCCCTAACACCAATCTAACCCAAACATAATCATTTCTATTTTTTATACTTTTCTATACTAAACACACTAACTTAATTAAATGTTATATGTTATATACACTAACTTAATTATGTTAAACTCTTGGTATTTATCAAAAAATGTGGGCTAACACAGTATCTCCTCTGCCCTCACCATCCACACTGTCCTGAACACATAATCAAGTAACATGTGAAAATTTAACGTATCTATTCTTACGCTTGTGGAAAAGAAGAAAATAAAAACAAACAAGCCAGAAAGTGCACACTGAAAGGCAGAGGCAGCCTTGGGGGACGCCACATCAGCTGGGGGCGCTGAGTGGGCCAGGATACCTCCCTGTAGGGTGGGGTGAGCTCTCAGCCCAGGAAGGCGCAGCATCCTCCTCCCTCAGCATCCTCACTCCCCTTCCCTCCTGTCCTCCTTTGCTTCTGTTATGGCTGTGTCTAGACAACCCCCAAAGCCTCCTGTGGGCGCAGTGGGGCTTTGCGGAGGTGGCTGGGACTAGAGTGTGTGACGCTAGGATCAGGGGTGTGTGACTACTAAGTCAATCTACTGATTGGTCTGGTACAGTTCTCGGTGTGGATAAGGCCCTCCTTGGGTGTGAGTGCTACCTCCCTGGGTGTGGAAGGCCCTCCCTGGGTGTGAGTGCTACCTGTGAGTCCTAAAGGCAGGAAGCCTGCACTGGATACAAAGGACAGAAGGGGGGCTGCTGTGTTGCTTGTTATTCTTTGCTATTTCACTGCATTCACTGCTTTGCTGCTTTCTGCCAGCCGATGACGGACTGAAACCTCTACAAACTGTGAACAGAAAATCAACCTCTCCTCCTCTAACCTTAGGTGTTGGGTGCTTTGTCTCAACAAGGAGAAAAGTAACCAAGACTGCTTCCATCCCCTTGACCAGCCTTTCCTCTACTTGGCCGTCACCTGCCCCATTTACTCACTTATGTCTGAGCTTCAGTTATGATTTGTATCTAGCTGCCTGACCCCAGAGTCGCATGTCCCCCAAGGTGGGCGCTTGGAAGGTGACTGGATTATGGGCAGTACAGATGACTTAGGAGGAGGGATCTGGTCTAATGAGGTGGGTCACTGTGGGCATGGCCTTAAAGGCCTATCGTCCTTCCTGGCTCCTCCCCTGACTCTGCTTCCTGTCCACCCCACTGTGAGCAGCTCTCTTCTGCCAGGCCCCACTGCCATGCCACCCTGCCCTGGAGCCAGCCAACTATGCAGACTGAAACATGAGCCAAAATAGACCTCTCCTTCCTTAAGTTGTGGGGTCATGTATTTTGTCCTCGAAACAAGGACACCGACTCAGACAACTTTCTTCCAGCCAGATGTCCCTGAACTCACACCACACCTAACTTTACACTCACCCAGTAAGGTACCTACTTATCTTGTTAACGGCACAATAATGACTTTTTACTCAATAACTATTAGGCAACTGAATTCTAAAAGGCAGTTTTTTAACTGACAATATCGTATTTATTTCCTACCTGTGGTGACAAAAGCTAAAAAAAAAAACAGAACAGACACAGAAATGAAACTTTTAAAATCAAAATCACATGCAGAATGAATTTGAATAGAATATGTTAAAACTACCACTTATTATGTAAGAATTTTAAAATATATTTTAAATAAAAAATAGAATAGAGACTTTCTCTACCACTATGGGTATCACTGCCACTCTCCTAATCATGCAGCTATGATATCAAGCCTACATTTCAGTGACATCTTGTCCTCCCTTCCACTTGTCAACTCTTGAAAAAATATTTAATGAGTAACCTCTTTGGGCCAGGTAATAGCGTAGGTGCTAGTAACACAGCAATGAATAAAACAGACAAAAATATCTGCTCTCACAGAGCTTCACTATAATGGAAGAGGAAAAACTCAAACAAAATTCAATGACTTGACAATACTGGGTTTTGTTTACCTGGAGGGGTAGTGAAATGCAGGCAGTAAGGTGTAACCGTAATGTCAAGCCAACTACACAGCAAGCAAAACTGTGGCAAAGTCAAGTCATAGCTCCCTGGGGAGGGAGAAGAATGTTCTGCCTATGTTTTGTGCCACTTCCTTAGGTAAAACTGTCACAAAGTATGGGAAACTGAAGTCTTTCAGCAAGATTAATGAAGGACTACTTCTCTTTTTTTCTCTCTCCTTTTCTTTTTTGTTTTTACCTTGGTCTCTTCTAACTGCCTCTGCAGATTCTGGGGGTCCACAGCAATAGGTTCAAGTAAGTGTTTGTTGGCCAGGGTCTCCGAAGACTGCAGCGCAGACAGAAGTCCACAGGACGCGTCCTTGTAGTGTTGGTATTTATCCACTAGGTCTTTAAGATTATTTCCAAGAACATTACACTGAAAACAAAAGAGAGGAGGCCATGGAGATTAAAACCCAGTTTTCTGATGTGTCAAACTACCCTAAGATCTGTGAATTATGTAGCTAAAAAAGAGACTTCAAGCAGAGTTGTAGGGCTAAGGTTTTTACCTTATATGAGTCAAAAAGTAACCACAAAAGTGAGGATACAGTTCTAGATTTACATCAACTTGAAAGAATATTTATAATGGCTGAGCCTTAACCAAGAATGAAAGACAAAGATATCTCACATTAAATTCCCTGGGTTTTATGTATACTCTGTGTATACAGTTGGTGGAGAGATTTACAAGGTATCTAATAAATCATTTTCATGTTTTGCACAAGGTTGATTAACATGAAGAGGACAAACAGTTTACATTAAAATAAAGTCAGAATTAAAGATGTTTTTAAAATTATTTATGCAGCTTGGTAAGTCTATGCAGAGCTTGAATTCTCAGGCATTTTTCTAATTTTTTTTTTTTTTTACTTGTTTAGAGATTTAAAAGAACCAGAAAACCTGTTAGTCATTAAGAATGAAAGCAATACACTGATGAGGTAAGTCTGTAGGACAGTGTCGTGTCTGCGAAGGGACTATTCGACATGAAACTTCAGTCACCACGGAGACAGGCTGCGCCAGCTTTCACTCTGCACTGGTGCAGGCATAATTCCCATCCAGTGGTCAAGCTGGCAATCAGAGTCACGCTGAGGCTTCCTAGAATCATCTCAGAGCAAATAACTTCAAGCTCCTATCTCTAAACACATTTTTCAAAATTAAAGTAGATGTATAGGTTTTTAGGTCTCCTGCTTCTAAATCAAAAACAAAAAAGGACAGAGTGCAAACTATAATCACATACTGACTTTCCTCTTGGAAAAAAGATGGTAAAATTACCTTGGAGTACAGAGACCTAAACCGATCCGTGGCACGATCAAGCTTGCTCTGGACTTCTCTGTGGGTTGCGGAAGTGTCCACATCGTCCTTGTCAACCTTGCTGCCCTCTCTCCTGCTGCACGATTTGGCGGCTTCTAATACCCTGTTTCCAGAAATAGTGATGTACCGCAAGTCACCTTTGTGAGAAATAACGTCCTCGGAGAAGCTCTTCTGCCTGCTCAGCGTGGTCAGCAAGCCACTGAGATCATCCACCCCTGCCGCCAGGTTCTCAAGTTCTTGCTCTGACTGCTGCAGCCAGTGCTCAAACTCGCCATAATCCGCATCAAACTTTTCTAATTCCTCTTGCAGGGAGTGTGTTAACTTCATTTTCTTCTCTGACGCGGCCAGCGTGGTTTCATACTGTGCTTTCAGCTCCTTCATGTTCTTCTGCAGTTTCTCCTTCTCCTCGGGAGAGAGATAGTGGCCCTGCTTCTCAAGCAAGGCTTGGGCAGACTGCGTGGCTACGATGACTGCCTGGTGCCGGGAGATGATCTTCTCGTGCTGGGCCTGGGGGAAGACACAGCAACCACAGCTTTAACGCAGCTAGTAGTTTCCCACGGCCTCGGGACCGCCGGGCACCTGGCACCTACAGGGCTTCGGCTGCCACTCTCCCCTCTTCTCAAGCTAAACAGCGCCTTCCTCGCTGCTGAACTTGAGAACAGCAAGAGCTGCATTTGGGGATCTCTAATTTTAAGAAAACTTCCAACCTTCTCTTACAAGTACTTAGATAATCACAAATTTCCATGCTAGTACTACAATAAACATCTGCAATCTAATAGTTTGCACATTGCTTCCTTATAGCCACACAAAAAGCACTGCTAGTGCCTTTACCTAATTACTGAGCAAGAAGTACAATGTTTTTGTTAGGAAGTGATCATGAAATAAATAGGGAAAAAAGTTATGTACTTTTAAAACTAGAAAAAATTTCAACCATTAAATGTCCGGAAAAGCAAAATGCAAGTGAAGGGGACAGATATTACAGGAAAGAAGTCTGGGGTTGCTACTTAGTATCACTGGACCTGTTTCCCGCTTGTCAACACGGAGATACTGGCCCCTCCACATCTGGCTCTGAGGAGCACACGAGGTCACAGGCAAAGCACACACCCTGCACAACTTGATGCGCTCAGGCTCCCAGCTGCAAACAGGTTCAGCTGTGCAGAGTAACTGAGCACTGTCTCAGTTCGGGGCAGCAAGGGGGCCTTAGGTGGTTGGCACCCCTTTCCCTCCAGCCGTAAGGACCCTTTCCCAGTATGCCACACAAATACGGCACGATTATTTCTTCAAGTTACTGTAACACACGTTTGCAGTACACAGTGACTGCACTCCCGTGGGGGCTGGCACATGGACACTTCATTCTTCTTACCCCTTTCCTCTCCTCCCCTCCCTTCCCACTCCTCCATCTCTAGGTGCTTCTGCGAAAGTTCGGACAGAGCTTCTACATTTCTCATGGAGCCACACATCCTAATTACACCTCCTAATTACTAGGAGGGCTCGTTTCCCACCTCTACGGCCTCCCTGCTGCTCTCAGCCGTGCTAGAGAGACTCACAGGACCTTTCACTCCTGTTCTCTTTGTCCAGTGACAGCTCTGTGATCAGATGTCTGCTCGGCACAACCCCTACCTCCTTTTAAGTCTCTGCACAAATCTCTTTTCAGTGAACCCTACTTGACTACCCTATTTACAGACTGAAAATGGTCCCCAAGCCCACACTTAACCACCATTACCAAAGCCTAAACCTTTCTACTCAGCACTTTGGACCTTCTAATGTAACATGCAGCTTTGCTTTGTCTGCTATGTCACTCATCCTCACCCCAGCACTCTGCACACAAGCAATGGAACAGGGAATTGATTTTGCTCACTGGGGAACGCTGAGTACCTGGAATAGTGCTGGCCCAAAGAGCAGAGTAAAAATAAGCTTTGTGCTGGGAAGGTCAAGGGACTCAGAAGCACTGCTATAAGATGACCTCACTCTAAGTCTCCTCCCAATCAGGCAACCGAGAGCAAACTCCTCATGTTGTATCCTCTCTATCTGAACGATGTCCGCCCCATGACAAACAAATCTTCCCCCCAGACTGTATCTGTGGAGTCTGAATTATATTCATATGCTACTCTCCAGAAGGGCTTTGCACATAATTAGAGCTGGAAGAGGTAATGAACTATCTGATCAGTCCTCTTCCTTCAATAGCTGGAGAAGGGCCGGGCCGCAGCCAGGGTGCAACTGCAGAGGGCTGGAGACCCCAGGCTGCCGGCCACCAGTCCAGTCCACCACAGGTGAGATCTACACACTGCCAATTCCCCTACTCTTACAGGTCCAAAGATCGGGAGCAAATGTCACACTGTGGACTGAAACAAGAGCTGTTCCATGCGACACCTTTATGTTTAGTCCACTTACAGGTATTTTTCATCACTTTTGTCAGATTACGAACTTTTCTTGACATTCCTGTAACTGACTCGTAAACTTCCTTTAGGAATTCATCAGATTTTCCACTTTTAGAGTCAATTATACTAAGGTCCTATAACAGTCTCTTGAAACCATAATGCAGTAAATACTCTTGCTCTTCTCCTGGCTTAATTTGTATTTTCTATAAAAACTTCACAGAGAACATCCTATCCCAAAGATCCAAGAGGAAGAGTTGGAGGAAAACAGACCTGCAAAAGTTCCTAAAGTCCAGTCATGCAAAGGGAAACCCTGAGGAAAAATCATTAATTATATGAAACTTTAAAAATACTCTTCAAGAGTTGCCTTTGCTACTATAGTAGCATTAATAATAGTTCTAATTTCCACTATGCAGGGAATTTTTTGAAGGGCTTCTACGTCTCTTCTCAGCAGGAGCCCACACTGTCTGGAGGCACTGAGCTCAGGAAGGGTGTGAGCCCGGGCAGTGCACACACTGCTTGGGGAACAAGAACAAGCACGTGCGGCACGGCGATCACGCCCGCAGCCGAGTTTAAACTCAAGCATCCCTCCAGGTACGGCCTGGGCAAAGGACTTCAGTTCTGTCAGTTACAGTTTTCTGTAAAATGAAAATTACCTCAAGGTATATCTAGCAGAACTAAGTGAGATCAGACAGAAAGATCCAAGAGTGACTAGCCCGCGGCTACTGCTGTGTTCACTATGACTACTACACTTCTTATTAGCGCTTACAATATGGCTTCAGTCACACAGACAGTGCCACATGTACTGATTTATTTCTCATTTTTTTGACTTGCATGGAACTCTCATAATAAATTATATTTGACATAATGACAACCAAGAGAAAAAGGACTTTCTTTGCTGTGATCATAAGACCTGGTAGGGGCCAAGTTGTTTCTATCTTCTGCTCTCCCGGAAACAGAATGTGACCAATCACCATGTTCAAACACACCTTGATCTTCTGGTATTGCTGGTTCAGATTCCCCTCGGTACTTCCAACATGCTCATCCACATCAGCTGCCTGCAAGTTACCGTTGACGTCATCCTCTTCTCCAATCACCAACCTGCCATCGCCTTCATCCAAGTGGGTCCCGTTCTGTTCAATGACCTGTTTGTGTTCTGTCCCTGCCCTTCCTGAGTCATTGTCAATATCGGACAACCAGTCCAGGAGGTCCTCTATCTTGGTTTTGCTCTCTTCCAGCTGCTTCACAGCTGCAACCTGGACAGGAATGTTCACACCAAGTTCTATGAATGCAAGCTGAGGTGCAGGTGTAAGACATTTCAGAAGTAAAATCTGAACAATTTTAAACTGTAAAACCGACATGCACTGCAATTGTAACACAGCAAAATTAACCCTTAAGCAACAGTTACTCTGACATATTCACTGCACTTAAAAATAGTGTATTTTCCAAAGCTGCAACTGTAATTCTTCAATGCTCACACATTTCACAACCCTACCTCAATTTTAAGAAAATTTAAGAAAGACAACTCTGAAATCTTTTGTCGTATTTAGTCAATTACATATCTGGAATCTAACAATTCTAGTTTTGGGGCTATCACTCATTACCGCCTGATACACTTAACCAAGTCAAGCAGCTGTTACATTAATCATTTCTAACAAAGCAACAAAGCACTATATATGTGAATAAGCACCTTTTCCGTTTCTTCCTTGATTGCTGTCTTCACAACTTTATCCAGCTCCTTTTTCGACTGTTCTGCCTTCAAATTAAGCTGCTCACACTTAATCTTCGCTTCACTAAGTTTTTGTTCAATCAAAGCCTTATCATCTTGTGACAGCTTTTCACCATTCTCTTTTAAGAAGTTCTCTGTGTTTTTGACTATTTCTGCCAATGCTTGTGCACTTCTTTGCATATCTTTTTGTAATTCCTTATAACACAAAAGAAAAAACACTCTGTTAAATTATTACCCACATAACTCTTATAGAGTCATAATTCTAAAAGAGGGGTAGGCAGAGTACAACCCAGGCAGTTTGAAAAGCACAGTGAATATGTTAATTAGTTGACTGGCTTACCGAAGTTGTATTTAATATTATTTGAAATCTAAAGAAAAGCTTGAGATTTTTTCATGCTTAACAGAAGAGTGTGGTTTGCAGAATGTACTTTGTGAAACACTGATAACACTGAAGTTTTTGATATATAATATATGCAAATATGCATATGGCAGATTTTTAACACAGGTACATTTACAAAAGCTTATAAATGCACACTATTATTTGTTGTTTTTAAACATTTATTTTTAACATGTATTTACTGCTCAGGATAAAAAGAAATACTTCCCTCAGTGAATGAAGAGCTTTCTTTTTCTAAACACCAGACTCAATAATAATATGTGATATTTGCTTCTTTGCCCTGGATACTAGGAAGTTCAAGATTAAGATCCCTTTCGCCATACTTATAGCTTTCCAGGTGGAAGGAATTTCTATATGTAATTTCCCCTATTCTTTCCTCTTGTTATTATGCATTTTTGTTCTCCATATTGTACTGTTTTCGAGTTTTGACATTTTTCTTTATATGTTAAACCTTCTCAAATTTTTATGAAGTTATTTGAATTGAGACAGATCCTTTTTTATTGAGTCATTACTATGTGACTCTGCTAACGACTTAATTCACAATATATACTTAACTTCTATGATAATGCAGCAATGAAAGTATAACAATGAGGAAATGCAGGCTCAGAGATGAAGTTATGAAGCTACCCATGGATAAAATCTGGAACTGGAACAAAAGCTATTCAGTTACAGTGAGAATGCTCTTTCTCTTGACACCAAAATAAAGGTGTCTTTATTTGTTGTTTTTGTTATTTTTTTCCATTTTCCTTCAATAAATAGGAACAAATTACAAAGGTGAAAGGAGTAAGAAAAAGCTAACAAGAACCCAAAGTTTCGGCCATTTGTCTTGATCTGCAAGTGAGTCTGTTGGCCTTAAGCGGGTTCCAATTCTATTTATGTATGTATGTATGTATGTATGTCTTTTTTTAAGACAGGGTCTTGCTATGCAATTCAGGCTGGCCTTGAGCTCACTTTGTAGCCCAGATTGGCCTCAAACTCACAAGATCCTCCTGCCTCAGCCTCCCGAGTGCTGGGATTACAGGCATGTGCTACCACGCCCGGCTTGGGTTCCAATTTTAATTCATACAAGTCTCCTTTGTATCTCCTCCATCCAGTAACTTAGACTAAAAAAGACAGCAAAATTACTTGGCCTGCTTCAAATTGAGAATCTAATTTTTAGTATAAAGTTTACAGCTCAGAAGTGCCTTGCCTCTGAAAAAAAAAATCTGAAATTCCTGGCAGCGTTCAGTAGTCCCAGTGGACCTCCAAACAACAGTAATCAAACCTACTGGGACAGAGAGATGCTGATACAAAGTCCAAGTCTACCTCTTGCTCAGACTTGTACTTCTTTAACTCAACCGTGCCATCTCCAATCACAAAGGCTTCTTGGTGACCGATGAGGCGGTTTTCAGTTTGGGTGAGAAGATCACATATCCCTTGGAGTTTCTCTTTGTACTCATGCTGACGCTCTGCCACAGTCTGAAGTGGAGAAAACCCCAAACATCGTCAATGCGTGGTCATAAAATCATCCCTGTGATAGCTCCTGATTAGCACACACTTTTCCAAAGTCCCTCTCCTATGCTTTTACTTAAGTATGCTGTAAACATAATAGCACTGGGGTATAGACTAAGCAAAGAGAAACAGAAAGTGCGAGCGTGTCCCAAATATAGGGAAAGAGACCCCTGGGGTGAAGTTACTCAGCAGAATACTGGCCATGCATATGTGTAAGAGATGGAACTTCTGACCGACAGGAGAAACATCCCATTTTCTTAAGCTCTTGAAACCTGCAACACACACAATTAATTCTGCAAAAGGACACTGAAAGAGAAGTTAGTCGTGACTTGTCTGTTAACATAACTGATATGTATAAATAGGTTACCATGTTAGAGACAATGCCCTGTGCTTCAAGAAATAGTAACATTGCATGCAATGTTTACCCAATCACTGTGTCTAACTGCATTCCCATCTCTTTACTCATTCTTGCTATTAGATATAGTACTATAATGCAATTCACCACATCTCCTGAAAGGCTGAGTCAAAACCAATTTGCATGCATCTTTCATTTTCCTATTCATCATCCATCTTATAGACACAGTAAACATAGCTCATCTTTCCTACCAGCCTAGCACATCCTAGGCAAGGTACTAAGTATCTGTAACTTCTTTATCAGTGCTCTCAATACTACCAGGTAAGTATTGCTATTATTTCCACTTTACCATTGAGAAAAGGAAGGTTAAGTGCCTCGCCCCAGGTCTTACACACAACGAAGGCGGCAGCATGACACAAACACAGGCAGTGTGGCTCCAGAAGCCATGCTGAGTTGATGTGCCAAACCATTTCCTTGGGGAAAAAGATGCTACTCTTAACTTTCTTTAGCCACCTGCCCTCAACTGATTCTAATGTCTTGGAAATTACTGAGTACATGCATTTTTCCTATTTGTGGGGTAAAAACATATGAGTCCCACTTAAAATGAGCAGCGTTAGGGAGGCATGAAAATTACAATCATCTGATCATGATCATTATAAAAACAGCACTGTTATAGACTGTGGGAACACTGTACTGTGTCCTACTTGCCAATGCCTGTCTAGAAAATTGTTCCTAATACTGTAAAATAAATGGGCAACTACATGAAGGCTTCACCTTGAAGAAGTAAAAACAAAGAATTCCCAATCCACAAAGAAAGGCAAACCTTCTGATCATCAAGATCTCGTTCTAGCTGTAACTGTATCTCTAAACGTTCCACCTGCATAGTTACTGATTCCTGCACATCAAGAAAACACTTCTGAGTTGCATTTAAGAGCCGTAGCAGTTGTCTACTTTGGTTGGGAGACAGATCTTGTGCATATTCAGAAATGAAGAACTGAACATCGAAGGCAGTAGTCTCCAGCTGCATTCTGGTATGCCCCAGGTCTTGTAACACAGTCTGTGAACAAAGCCGTACAAGTTACCAACACAGAGTGAGGCTATTGATAAGGGTTACAGTAACAAAAATATTCACCTTTTAAAATACGGTTTTTCAGAGGTTTGGAAGTTTAAAGACTTTTATTCATTACTAAACAAGAATCCACCACCTAGAAACAGATGATAGCAAGTTTTTAAATACAATGGTAGTTACTATTCTATACAGCAGAGAACTCCTCCAAGAATATTTTCTTTGCCTGTTACATCATATTTAAAATGCAACTGAAAAAGGGTAAAGATTTAACATAGGTACATTTATCACACATTTAAATACTCCTTGCTAATACTTAGAATATCCACTAAACTGAGGTAATAAATAACAAGATTATGGACAATTTGAAATGTGAATTAAATGTACCAGGATCTCAGTTTTCAGACTCTGAGGCAACGAGCCCAATCCTGTTTGTGGGAACTATGTTCAAATTAAGAGCCTGCAAAAATATCATGGCAAAACTGACTACCATACAGATACTTTTTATACCATCATGTACTCATATGACTAATTTTATATGACTAATTTATAACTTATGCATTTATGTGACTACATACATACAGAAGTCTTAGGTCTAAACATGTCAGTGGTAGTAAGAGTTGAAGAAGGCATTTGGGATAGCATCACAATACAACCATAGATTTGTAATTATTTTACAGTTGTGCCAAGTAAGAACAAGTATCTATTAGAGACAAAAGAAATAATTCTTCATAGTCTTAGGGAGGGGATGTTTTCCCTAAATACTTATATTAAATCCACAGGTTTTGTAATGTCCTTTGCCATATTTACTTTGACACTTGCCTTAAGAAACTCCAAATTTTTCTTTACATTTTCAGTATCTTCAGCTTTCATGGTCTTAAGATCCTTCACAGATCTGCTCCTCTCTGATATCAATTCTGAGAATGACTTAAGTTTATGCAGAAATTCTTCATAGGAAACTTCTAGTTTGGACTACAAAATAAAAGTATGCATTCATTTCTTTACGCCCTCCAAATTTCAAAGTCCTACAAATAGTGATTCTGTTTTTAAAGGCCTAACATCAAAAATGTTATAACTAAATTTTCAAATAATCAAAGTTAATTAAAACTTTGCCATGTCCGTACCCACCATTTCAGAGTCAATTGCAAGCATGATCTGTTTCATTCTTTCTGAAGACATGTTGCTCAGGGAAGAGAAGGCAGTCTGCAAACTCTGGTGGCTCAAATTTAATTCTTCAAGATACCTTCTAGGAAAATCACTGGGAAGAGACTTTGAGAAGTCTTCTGCCAATTTCATATCCTTTCTTAAAATCACAGCAACTGGAGACAGTCTCAACTTGAATGTCTATAAAGATATAAATCCCAGATATATTTACTACTCAAAGAAAAATGTAAAAATGAAATATAAGTACTCCATTTTTTCAAATCTCATGTTAACTGGTATTATCCATAAACAGCCAGATACCACAGTTTAGAGTGGGAATATCCCCTGAGGGCCATGGCTTTGACCCCAGCTTGGTGTCCCCAGGAAGTGGTAGAAACTTTAACAGACAGGAGGCTCTGGATCACTGGGGACATGCACTCAAAGTGGACTGTGCTCACCCAGTCTCTCTCTTGGTTCCCCCACCGTGAGGTAAATGGTTATTTCATTTTGTTTTGGTCCTTCTGAGGCAGAGTTTTACTGTATAGTTCAGGCTGGTCTTAAACTCACTTTGTAGCCCAGGCTAGCCTCAAAATTGCAGCTGTCCTCCTGCCTCAGCCTCCCAAGTGCTGGGATTACAGCTGTGTGCCACCACACACTTGTGGTTTTGCAAGGTAAGTGGTTCTGCTCTGCCACACACTTATCACTATGATGTGCTGCCTCACCACAAGCCGAAAGCACCAGCGCCAATGGTCAGGAAACGGAAACTCTCAAGCGATGAGCACCAGGAGGCCTCTAATTATCTCTGGTGTCTGTCAGAGTCATGGAAAGCTCACTACAACAGCAGCAGACAATTCTTACCTCTAATTGTTTAAGTTGATTTTTTAAAGCTTCTAGATTGCTATCCACAGATTCCTGGTTATCTAAAGGAAGCTTCATATCTTGAAGGAAAGCTAAATACTCCTGCATTTTTTCAGTGTGCCATGAACACTGCTGCAATTCACTGGAAAACTAAAAACAAATTTGAACATTTGAACTCAAGAGCCTTTATGCAGATTTTGAAAGCAAATAAAACATATAAAAGATTATTCCCAAATATTTCATGCAGATATGTGACTATCAATCCTGATGTACCAACTTCACTGGATTAAGAAATTCTTAGCAGGTTAGTAAATATGCCCATGGTGTGTTGCAGAGGTGTGGCCATGGTACCATATGGCCCCTCACGTCTCTGGCCCTGTTACCTACTATACTCTCTGGCTGCCCTGAATTGAGAAGCTATGCTAGGTCACATCTTTCTACCATGAGGGTTCTGCTTGGAGCCTGCTAACCATGTACTGATCTCCTGAAACCATGAGCTAAAAAGTTTCCTTTAAGTTGTGGTGTTGGGTATTATGTCTCAGAGATGGGAAAGTTAACTAGTATAAAATACTTCCACATAGGATATAAAAATCAACTTACTTTTTCCATTGCGTTATCTCCAGAAATTATTTCTTTTGATCCAGCAATGCATCCCACATGGTTTGGGAAATCACTGCGTAGGTCTTCAAACCTCTCATCTCTTGGCAATGCCGATGCACACACAACCGAGCTTTCCAGTTGCATTTCTTTTATGGTTTGTAAATCAGGGGAACAGTGGTTTCCTTCTTTGCTTTTAAGACCACCAAAAACATGTGGCTTTTCATCCACTATCTCAGAAGTGGCACATACTTTTTGACTCGAGTCTCTAACTTGTTCTTCGTTTTCTGAATATCTATCAGCAAGCAGCTTATAGAAAGCATTTTCAAGCTGCATTGGAAGTACTTTAGATGAAATACCTCTTTGCTCTAGATCACATTCCATCCGAGTTAACTCTCTCATCAATTCAAACAGTCCTGTAATTTTTGGGCTACATGGATTTTGCTTCAGTATATCAAGGAGATGCTCAGAATTAACATTTGCAATACAGAAAGGATCATCTCTACTCTCTGCCTTCAGTTCTAAGTTATTCATGGGGAAAACTCCAGGGCAGTCACTGATTTTAGAGTGGATGGGCACATTAGATGCTTCATGTACCAACTGTGATGAGCTAATCCTTTTAGTTAAGTTTTGAATGAAAGTTTCAGGGTCTGCACAAGCTGAAGGGTCATCCACTTCTTGAGGATTCATATTACTTTTCAATTTGCTTTTTAAGATATCTTTTACATCCTCCATAAATACCTGAGATAGTTCTGCCACCTGTCCCACCTTTTCATGATGTTTTGGAGACAAAGTGTGTTCTTTTGGTGGCTGTTTCTCAATTCCCTCTTTCTTATTGTCAATTTTTAAGAATGAGTAGTCAGTATCTAAAGTATTAGTGGGGTTATCATTCCTTATTTCATTTATACAGACCTCTGACTTCATATGATCAGTACTTTCCCCAATGTCTTCTGTATCTTTAATGGTCAAGCCTGGAAGTATGACTTCATTATTTTCTGGTGTGAACTGAGGAACTTCTATTCCTTCTTCTGAGACACTTTTTTCAGTAATAAGATCACTCTGCTGCAGCATCTCACTTGGAGGCCAGTCTTCTTGTGTAGGAATCAAATTCTCTTTTGCACTATTAATCCCTGATTGTAAATCTTCTCTCATGGGTGAATCAGCTATTAAAATATGGCTGGGGCTATCTTCCTTTGGTTTCAGCACATCTTTTGCCTTTATATTTTCAGCACTATGCTTTAAGAAAGTAAGCAGATCAAGCTCTTTCCCAGGTCCATCGGTGAATGAATCTTTCTCAGCAGTGGCATTCCCTCCAACAACATCTGAAGTAATGTCATCATTGATCACTTTGGAAACTGATGTCTGAAATATTTCTTCAAGATCCTCAAATTGAACAGGACTTTTACGAACCACTGTTGCTACATTTTTTGGTTCCTCTTTAAGAGTTCCAGTCACCTTCTCAGGGGTTCCTCTCTGATCACCATCTTCACTGTTTGTGATCTCAGGAAATGGATACTGACTTTCAACTAAATTGAGGCTCTCCCTTGTGCTTTTATTACGTGAACACTTGAGATCTTTATCTTCTTCTTCTGGATCTTCTGTAAGCACTTCTTTACCTAAGTGCATTTTCTGGGCAGGCACAGCACCCTCCATCAGTGTACTGCTTTTGTCACCTTTCCCTTTCACTTGGCTTCTCCCATTTCCCTGGCGATCTCTGGCAGTTACACAGGCTGTGAGTAACAGCTGGCTTTCTGTAGGTTTTCCTACTAATTCGGGCTGGGAACCAAGGATTTCATCAACAGATGGGTTGATTTTGGCTGTTACACTCTCAAGACAGACAGATTCTGGTCCTTGAATCATCTTTGTATTCATTAGATCAACCTCTAATTCAGAAGCTGAACTGACACTATTCTGTAAAACACCTGAAGGACCAAAGAGTGTTCCTGACTCAGTGTCCCCCGTGTTAGGCAGCAATGTATCCGTAAGCGCTACCTCATGACTCAGCACATTTTCTCTGCTTTTTCCAGCAACCCCAGTTGTGCGTTCCTGAAGACTGTTTCTTTCACTAACTAAGCTGCTCTTACTAGTTGATTCTAACTGTAAAACACTTACACTTTGCTGTGTTCCTAGAGAACTATAATCATGCATTTTATCCAGGAGAAGCATTTTAATACATTGATTTTCATCGCTATTTTCCTTTTCAGCCATGGCACACAACTGGTTATCTTCAGACTTTCCATTCTCATCTCCCACTCCTTCCCCTCCATCATCACCAATATCGACATCATCATCCTCATCATTACTGTCACACAGATAATCCCCACAGCTTTCTTCACTTTGCGTAGAATCAAAATAGTTAGTATCGGTCTGGCCAGTTACATATTCTTTTCTTCTCCAACTGCCACTGTCACCAAATTCTAATGAATCACCATAGCTCCCTTTCCTGCCTATCATTTCACAATCAGTCAGTGAGTCAGACTCACCACCCTCAAGGTCATTTGTGTGTTCCCTTTCTGATGAAGTTTCCACTGACCACTCAATCACCTTGTCTGAGCCAACTGAACTTAAATGTTTCCTGTTACTAGTATCTAATTCAGCTTTCTCATTACCCAGAGGAAAACCTTGAAGACACTGTGCTTCGCCTCTCACACTTAAGCTGCCAACTAATCCTCCCTGGGGAACCTCAGAACTTTCATTCTCTTTGGAAATATCATAGAAAACATCAACAGGAGAAACCATCCCATCATCTTCCTCTTGCAGTATGTCATAGTCCTCAGGCCGCAGACAATCCTGGTTATCACCTTCGAGAAGCAGAGAATCATGGTCATCATCTTCAAACAAGGGGGTATCATAAAAATCATCATCACTATCGGTGTCCGTTCCTGTGCCACTCTGCTGATCATCCAGCAGTGACGTCTCATAGTCACCAGCACTGATGGTCTCCTCAAGCACAGGGGCACCACAGATAGGAAATGCACTTTCGCTGGCGGTACTGTGCTCCTGGGCCATGGCACAGGAGGACTCTTCCACTTCAGATTCACTTTGCTTTCCTGTAGGTGTCTGCTGAGAAGCAGTACACACTTCTTCATTCTCAGACAAAGTATGTGACATGTATTCATCACTGGGATATTGTACTTGAGGATGACTACAAGCAATGTTAAAAGGCGTTTGCTCCCTGCATTCTCCTTGTAAAGTGATGTTAATAGCTGCAATTCCAAGAAACTGGTCTTGGAAACTTTCTCCTGTTCTTTGATCTGGCAATGTGCTTTGGTCACCTACTGACAGTGAGGAGGCTTCACAGTGATTCCCATTGCTCTCTGGGGAGTGTACATCACAAAAACCTTTCTGACTATGCCTCAATTTATCATGACTTAGTAAGGCACTTAGCCTGGAGGAGTAGACAAAGCTGGATGAATCCTGGTTTATGTCATCCTTAGTCTTTGTTTCACTCACATCATAGAGCCTGTCAGTTTTTGATTTCACAACAGGACTTGCTATCAAATCATTTGCAAAGTTTTGAATGTTTTTAGAATGACTACATTCATCTGCATGTTTGTTTGTTTCAAACTGGCTTTGATTTTCACAGCTTTTAAGTATGTTTTCAGAGTCATGTCTAAGTGTGCTAGCCTCTGTAGGTTGAGTCTGTTTTACATATGACACAGGATTGGGAACGCACAGGCTGAGCGAAGTGTTAACTTCCTGATCAGTTGCTATCATGTTTTCTGACTGACAAAGTTCACTACGGATAGCATTATTTCCCATTTCATCAAACTCTTCATCTATGGCACTCTTGCAATTTTCAGGAATCTCTCTATGGCCAGGTTCTCTGCAGTGACATTTATCAGAACTAGTCAGTGAAGCCACACATCCATCCTTTCCCTTACTGGCAGCACTATTAAGAAATAGACCAGGGACACCTACAACATCCAGACTGTCTCTCATGGCTGCATCCTCACCAAACTCAGCACCACAGCCATCCAGGAGCATGCCGACAGCCTCCTGCAAGTCTCCATCATACATCAAAAGCCTCTGCCCTGTGTTCGCATCCATGTAACTGTTGACCATCAAGTAAGATAAGAATAATTTCTTAGTCTGTTCTGAGCTCTGAATTGCCCCTGGTTCTTCTCCTTCAAAACCATCCTCTTCTTGTCTATAATCATGAACTGTTGATGGCTGGAATTTACAAAAAGAGAGCCATCTTCTGGCATTCTTACAAGCTTCTAAATCTCCTAAATCTGGCATTTTATCTGGCAGTGCTATATTTTTTAAAATCGATGCTGTGTTGTTGTCTATAATTCCTAGCTGCTTAGCGACATCCAAATCAATGACTTGAGAACTTTCTGGAATATAGAGAGCAGCTATTTTCTGCCTGCCATTCAGAATTTTATATGCCAATTCATTTGTAATCAACTCTTGCTGCAAAGAAGAAGATGTAGGGAATATTTCACCAGAGTGGGGCCAGATGAGGCCAACATAGCCTCGCTGAGCCTCCAGGACCAAAAGAGCACTGCTGGAAGTGATCAGATCACACTGGACTGCTTCATCCACAGTCAGGCGTTTAGCAGGGTTGGAGCAGATGATCCCACCTGTCTGAACCTGATAGGTGAGAATACCATGGGCAGTATTTCCGTCGATCACCCCCTCTGCCAAGGCTTCTTCAACAGTCAGCTTCTGACCAGAGGTGCTCTCGATCAGACCACCAGACAGAAGCTGGGCACCTAACAACCGAAACATGGTCTCACGGTCTATGAGACCTTCATGAGCTGCTCTTAGAATGCTTATGCTTCTTCCACATTTTAACGTTATCCGGCCCCCTTCCTGTGGTCTCACAGGTAGAAGCCACATTCCAGTATTTTCTTGTAAAATACTTCTTTGTACCATATCTGATAAAGACACCTTCTCAGAGGTGCAGGGGTCAATAAGATCTTTGCACGTATTTTGCCTTTCCAGGACTTTAGAAAACAATGCTGAGGAAACCAAGTTCTTCTGGAAAGCCTTCTGCAAGGTCAAGTGTTCTCCAGTGGCTGGGATAACTAGAAATCCAGTAGAAAACAGGATCTCAAGAACTTTAACAGCCATAGACTCTGATACCATGCCTTGAGCCAAAGCATCTAGTATAGGTATTTTGGTAGATGATGAAGCAGAAATAATCTCCTTAGCTTTATTTAGTTCTTTGAGTTGGCATAGAATTTGTTCATCAATAAGGCCATGACTTTTGGCATCTTTGAGGTCAAAACACTTTCTTAATTCTGGTGAAATGAGACCAGAAATCAGCAGCTGTGTCTCAAGTAACCTGATTCCTGTGTCATAATCAATGAGGCCTCTTAAAACTGCCTGAAAGACTGAAAGGACTTCTCCAGTTGTCTGATCAATGGTGCCTGCAATCACTTTATCCAGCTGAAAGGAAAATGCAAAAGTATCAGGTCAGTCTGTTGCACAAGGGAGGGCAGAATTCCATGCAACTTAGTTTTTGGTTCTGAGTTTTTAAGAATACACTTCATCATAAAAGTCCTCTACTTACCAAGGTGCAGCAATGCTCTGAATGTTAGGCAGCTCAAATGCACAAGTGATCTATGTCAGTGATCTATTCAACAGCACAGGATGTGATAAAAGCTTTGAAACAACATGCATCTGTGAATTGAAAACTTCATATCGTGTACATTAACAAGGTTAGTGAAGACACAGCAGAGTGGATGATGACAATGAGAGAACAGAACACACACCTAGAAGGCAAGTCATGCTTTCTGTATTTGCGTGAGATTAATGTCTAGTGACATGAAAGAGAGAATCAAACCCCATGCTACTGATGTTTACAGCATACTACTTCAAAGACACTAAAAATTAAGGAATGAGAAAAACTGCTACCTACTCCCCAAATGTGACCATTATGCAGAAAGTATTCTCAGGGGAAATGGAATTAAATAAAAGGAGAACTTTAAAAACACTGAATATTATGTTTGGCATGTTGATATGCACTGCCAAGTTGAAAAAAAAACTTGAAAAGATGCCTATTTTAAAAAGATATGGGGGTACCTTCACTATAATATATGGACTCATATTACTTGAGTAACTCTCATGGGTATCTCTGAAAATCAAACAAACCCCATAGCATATAAATGTCACCATTAGAGATGACCTGCATATTTATCATAAAACGCCTACTAACATATTTTATCATAAAATACCTACTATAGCAGAAAATGGCTTTTAAACAAGAGAGTTAGAGAAATGAATCATTCTTTCTTTACCATGCAAGGCAGAGATTAAGATGTCGTACAAGCTGATAAACAGCAAGTATAAGATTGCACTTAATAAATGACACTGAAATCTCCAAACATGTAAATAAACTTTGTCCATATTTTATCTATGTAAAAAACTCAAGGTAATATATTATTGACATAGGTCATCTCCATAATCATGCAATAACTAAGTTTCTTGAAACAGCCTCACACTTAATAAATAACATTACCTTCTCCTCTATATTTATATCTCCTGAGGTTTGTGATTCTTCCAGTTGTTTTAGACATTCACTAAATAATAAATTATATCCTTCTTGAAGAGTTTTCACTTGTTTTTCTAATTCGTTTCTTTCTTCATCTGTCATTCTAAAATAACCAGAAAGTATGAAAAAGAATAAATGCTCATTTTCTAGTACAAAAATTATATATTAGGCCTGATGACATAATGAGATGATCTCAAAATACAGCTCAGGTATAGTACATACTGCTCAGGTCATGGAAAATTAAGTATGGCCCTAAAAACATCTAGGAGTCTTTCCCTTGCCTGAGAAAGGGAATGAAGGAAAATGTTTGAACTAATATATCCATACCTCTCCAACACACAAATTTCCAGAATAAAAACTGCTGTTATCTGATGAGGAAAGAACCTACTGTTAATCCCATCATGAAAAGGGGCAATAAGGGGGCTGGGGATTTAGCTCAGCGGCAAAAGCGCCTGACTGGCAAGCGCAAGGTCGTGAGTTCGGTTCCCGGTGAAACAGCCTCACACCGGAAAAAAACAAAAAAAAAAAAAAAAAAAAAAGAAAAGGGGCAATAAAGTAGCATTTTTCAAGAAAATACTACTTTAAACTGAAGGATAAAGAGATGCTTACAAGGAAGTCAACAGATTCTCTAAACTACAATCCAAACCCATTCTGGAATAATCCTAATGAGGATGTTCAAAAAGAGTTTAAGATAAGCATGTTCCTTCTCTGAGTCACTGCTTAAAATATAGGAAGTTTCTTGTAAAAAGCAGAACCAAAATACAGTATGAAAAAGTACAGCAAGAATAAGGCACATATTTACACACATTTTGCACAAGGCGGTCCCACAGGGCACTACTTAGGCTTGGAGGCCTGGCTTGGCTCTCACCTCTGCCACTCACTAGCTACTACTTTTCACTTCTCGGAGCCTGTTTCTTTTTCACTAATATATGTGGATAGTAGGCACATTTTTAAGTTGTGCTAGAGTAGTAAGACATTATTAAGTTTATATACTTTATATTAATTGCACTTACAATTCCATTTTTATAATCTCAATTAAAATTTACCACCTTCTGCCTTGCTGACCATTTTTAAGAACACGTCCCTAATTCTGATGAAAGAGCTGATGAAAATCAACATACTTGTCTCCATGTTTAGCCAAAAACAGCTGCATGTTCTGAAGTGCTTCAGATAACTGTTCCTTCTTGGTTGATAATTCCTCACTGGAAATCTGTAAGGTAAAGAAGGTACTTCAACTCTTCCTTCAAAAAGACAATATTAATCCTTTTAAAAAAATTAATCAAGTTTTAATCAAGACTCAAATGATGGGTCTACTTTCTTGATGATTCAGATTAATAACCTATCGGTAACTGGCAGGTACTGGCCTGGCTGAGAAGAGCGCTTTACTTCCAACGTATTATTGACAGACGCGGCGCTCTCTACCCTTAACACCATCATTTTCATGAGCAACAAGTATTCAGCGCTATGTGTGTTCTTGCCATTGCCCAGCCCAACCATGAATAAATGTGGCCTGAATCCCTAGGGGGCCAGAAGTTCAGCCACGGCCCAACATCATCCTTGCACATCACAGTACTCAAGAAGATCTGTGAACACGGTATGTCATCTCCAAAGAGTATTTTTATTTCCCTTTGTTTTTTTTTTTTTTTTTTTTGTCTTTTTGAGACAGGGTCTCACTATGCAGTTCAGGCTGGCCTTGAAGCTCACTTTGTAGCCCAGGCTGGTCTAGAACTCACAACAATCCTCCTGCCTCAGCCCCCCCGCCCCAAGTGCTGGGATTACAGGCATGCGCTACTATAGTTCCTAAATACAATGTTCCTTTTAAAAAAATGGTGGTGAAAGTGTTATTCTACAGTCTGCAGACAAAATCAAACAATGCTAAGACCCTTGCTTATAAAAGCCACTTTAGAGTCAGAGAAGTAAACTGATCTGCTGGGGAAAAGCAAGAGGCTGCAGTAACACTTTCTCCTAACCCTCGGCATATCATTTCTGGATCTGTATTTCAGGAATTGCAGTTCTTTTGAATGAGCAGAAAGGAGTAGAAACAATGGGCCAATGATGACATACTCCTGTGTGTACTACTCAGAGCCAACCTGAAGTCTAGTTTTCATGGTTACAAGTAATCATGAGGCCATAGGGAATTTTGGATGATATATTTAAATATATCAAGTTTATTGCCTAAATTTTCTTTAACAGAGATACCATCTGGGGTTCTTTGGAGAGTTATAATTAAGGTCACATGCATTAAAAAGTACATGTCTACTTTTGTGTCTCAGGTCTAAATCTGAATTAGTAATGCTCTGGAAGATTTGAAAGTACAGAATGCAAAGCTACCAAGGGTTGATATCCACGTTCCTGCAAAGAAACATTCTCCCAAGAAATCTGTGGTAAGTAGCATGTGGCTATTTTAGTTGTTTTCCTATTTGATAGAGAAAAAGGAAGATGTTTTAAACTAAATATCTGCAATAAATTACTCTCAAGTTTTTGAATTCAAAATTCCAAATGCAGATGCTTTCAAATTTCTCCTTTCTTCCATATTACATATAAAGTAGGACTGAGAATACAGCTTTACCTCATTTGAACAGTATCGCAAGAAGATAGCCAGGTCTATAAACTTCTCCAAGAGAACTCCAGGTAAGGTACATCACAGACAAAAATTGGACAAGACAGGAATGTCTTCTGTTTAATCATGTCAACAATGGCAGGTTTAACTGATGGCAAGTGACACTGAGGCAGTTAGAAGAGGGCCTAAATACGACAGCCCCTGAAATTTCCAAGTATCAGGCAGGGACAGGAGCAAAGTGTCAGAAAAGTATTTAATCCTCAAAGGTGTGAGAGAGAGGCTTTATATTGGTGGAAATGTTTTCCTGTAAATACAGCAGCAATTTCTACCATCAGCAGCTCTATTAGAATGATACCATAACTACCTATGTCCTGAAAGGCTCCAGGGTTACAGTCCAAAGACATCACAGAGCAGTAACACTACACAGAGCTGTTGCCACCTAACTAATACTGAGTAGTTGGGAATCAAAAATAGCCCTCAGGACTGAAGAACTCCAGTGGGTAAGGAAAAGAACCTAAAATCTCTACTGATTGACTGCAGATACTTCCTTATCGAATAAAAATGATCCAGAAACGCACATTTGAAGTTATTACTCCAAAATGTTAATGCCCTAACTGGTATTTGCATTGTTCTTAGCTTTCCTATTTCCATCTGTAAGAGCGAGACTATGTATCTCACGAGATGGAGCACACGGACTGCTCTAGACACGGAACAGGATGACAGCTTCTCGGTGATTCCTGCCACAGGCGTCAGCGAGGGACGCCTCTGGGGAAGGCAGTACTGTTAGTGTGCTAACTGTATAGCTCACACACACGCCTCATGCTGCGGAATCGGGGACACCTTTTTTGGCCACATGCTCACTGTGCTTCTTTGGCCAAGTTGTCTAACCGTTCTGGTTTTTGTAATAACTGCCTATAAAAATTACAGGAAAGAATTTAACATTGTGCTAGGTGGACTCTACCAACTCCGTAAATTCCACCCACTATTATTAACCAGGACCTCTGTGAATACCTTTTGCTTAGAGAAGGAAGATTTTCCAGCCTTCTCGCCATCTCTCAATGTCTTGCTGATATTTGATACCCATTTCTGCAATTCTTTGGCTTTTTCAATATGCTCTTTCTTTTCTTCTTCCAGTGATTTCTGACAGGTGTGAGTTGGTTTAAAAAAAAAAAGACACATTCCAGTAAACGACTAAGCTATTAAACTGATCTCACCACCAAAATAAAAAATATAACAATGTTCTTTCCATCACACACAGGTTATTGAGATATTTTATTCATTCACTTAACCATGTCTATGATATCACACAGAGGATGTATTTCCAAAATATTCAGAGTAGCACAGAAAGCCATGACAAACACTCTTTCTTTCCTCACTGGTCTAATCTCCCAGGAGCTCCCGAATATGACAAGTGAAGGAACTCAACTTTATTCCTGAGGCCCTAGAAGATCTTGGATGACTGCCTTTGCATTAGCATCACAATCTGGATTGTATGGACAGAGAAGCATCAGGCAAGAAAAAACTGAGCGCATCTACCCACAAACACACAGAACAAGGAAAACCCCTTCCCCTCCCCTAACACACAATACAGTCATAATGTTGGCTTTTTATTCCAGAGTCTCAACTAGAGATGAGAAATTACAGTGAACATTTAATATGTAAAGAAAGTTATTATACAAAAACAAAACATATTATGTTTCCAAAGCAGGATCCAACACTGCAGCCTCAGGAATGAGGGAATGGATTCACACGCTTTCCTCTGACTCCACGGCGCTTTGTGAGGTGCTCGTTCAGCAAGCACAACACATCATCCAATAATGGGAACACAAAACCTGCGCTGAATCCGTGCAGGAAAGGGAGGTCTGGAGAAATGACGCCTTGAACATGCTGACATTCATTAAGCTTATTCCACATTGTAGGTAAAACATGATTTATTTTACTTTATTTGAGATAGTTTCGCCATGTAGTTTAGGCTGGCCTCAAACTTGTGGCTGTCTTCTTACCTCAGCCTCTCAAGTGCTAAGATCACAGGTGTGCACCACCACACCCAGCAAACATGTTTATTTTAGTATGGGTAAGATTCAAAATAACTATTCTCAAAGCTAAATTGAACCATTTTAAGGATAGCAATGTTTTTGTTGTTTTCAATTAAAAATTATGCCTTTTGAGCAGTGAGCGATTTGGAACTTTTGAGAAACAAACAGCGCTTTGAGTCCATTGCATAATTCCTAGACCACACATTTAGTCAGTTCTACCTGCTCTGAACAGATGGCACACACCAGCCAGCATGGCTTTTTCCATAGTTAAACACATCCTGCTAGGAAGAATAGTAGAGGCTAGAAATTCCTGTCATCAAAGGTTCAGACACTTCTATCAGTTTAAGTCCCGTGTGGAAATCAAAGTCAGCTTTTTCTAAGGCTTCCTTGTAAGTCAGCTTTCTTTTGGTCTGGGGGCATATTATGTTTCTAATGTATGACTTTTGATCTTTGAGTCTGGTGGCGATGAGCACATCTATAATACCTACTTGGAGAGCCGCTTCTATTGACAACCTAGAGCGAGCCTGCGGGTCTATCAAGCCCCCCGTCAGGTACTGAAATTCCAGGCACCGACTTCCTAGTTCCTTACTAATGATATTGGCATTTACAGCTTCCACCACCGACATCACTTTGTTGGTGACTGGATGGCCAACCCCTGTGATCACTAACTCACACTGTCGCAGCTGCTGGGCAAAGCCCTCATCAACAAGGCCCATACGCAGAGCTTCAGCCACCCTGTGCTTCTTGCCTGTTAGGGGATCAATGATCCCCCCTGTACTGACTTGGGCCTCCAAGCATCTGAGGGCAGTGATCCGGTCCACCAAATTTCTTCGAGAAGCCTTCAGTAAGGAGATCCTCTCCCCACTCGAAGTCAGCCAGTAGCCTGCAATAGGACTATGCAAATCCTTCTTGGGAACTAACCGGCTCAGCAAAGAATCAGCAAGCTCTGTAAGTGTGATGAGGCCTTCCTGATAGTTTTTGACCAAAACTTTGTCAATCGTTCCCTGCTCTATAGCATCATTAATATTAAACTGTAATCCTGTCTTGGTGTCTATCAGTATACGAGAAGGCTGCCCATAGGATTCAAAAAATGTGGCTTCCTTCCACTGATACTGCTGTCCTGACAGTTCCAGATAAATGCTTTTGTCAATTAGATTTCTCTGGTAAGCCTCATACGCACTCAGTTCTGCTCCTGTTTTAATATCAACCACAGAAATTTTATGAGTTTTCACTACACTGAGATTAGAAATGTCCCTTTCCCCGAACGGCAACAGAAAGCACTGGCAATCTACATCGAATACACACATTCGCAACAATTCTGAGTAATACAGAGCTTGCTTGTTATTAGGATTAGGAAAAACTCTGGTGTTGCTGGACGGCTCGTGCAAAAACTGCAGGATGGCATTATTTAACAAGCCCAGCTGTACAGCAACTTCTGGAGGGACGCGGATGCCTCTCACAGGGTCGATGATGCCCCCACTGGCCATCTGGGCCTCCAGGATATGTTTACCTTTTTGTCTGTCAAGCATTCTATTTTCCATGGCTTGGAATACTGAAAATGTCTTGGACGAATAGGAATATCCCAAGGCCGCCTTCTCTGCCTCAAGGAGCCTGATTCTGAATTCAGGGTCAACCACCCCTTTAAGAACTGCATCTTCAACCGAGTATGTCTGACCTGAGATGGGATCGATTATAAAACCGGTTGCAGCCTGAGCTTCTAAAAAGGCCAAAGCCATCATTTTGTCTATTATGATTTTCTTGGCTGCTGACACAAATGAAATTTTTTCTTTTGTAGACTCTAGATAAAGCCCTGCAATTGAGGTGGCTTTGGTCAAAAACTTGCTAAGACTGTTCTGAACTTCTTCAACTGTCTTCAGCCCAAGTCTGAGCTGCTCAACGGTTCTCATGTCCAGAAGCTTAGCTTCAACCAACTGCCTGGCAGTCACAGTGTGCCTGAGGCCCTGGAATGTAAACTCATCATCCCTCACTGGACACAAAGGATTGCCATCAATGTGCTGGGAAGTCTCTGCTTCTGAGTCTTTCCTAAGGAAATCTCTCCCGAGTCCACCAGATGTTCTGCACCCTTCCGGCATCCATTCTTCAGCACTGGAAACCGGGTTCTTTTCTTGTTTTAATGCTGTGACTTCTGTATGCATATCATACTGCTTATTCTTAACTATCTGCAACAGGAATTTTTAAGATGTTAAAAGTCACCTAAAGAATTTATGTCACTTAATCCATTCTCAATCTAAACACAATTCCTCAAATTATTAAAATACCCGAAGAAAAGAAAATTTTCGGGTGGAGTTTCAGCAGTAAGTAACATTATTTTGAAAGCCTCAAGCTTACTTTAGATGATAATACAATTAAAGATATTAAAATGGCATGACTGAGATGAAATTGGGTCACACAATAAGTTGATAGTTAAAGTTAACTGCGTGGTTCTTCTAGCTTTTTTTTAGAACCACAGTTTTAAAATATACATTTCCATAGATATAATAGGATACTCATTAGATCTGTATTTCATCTCAAACATTCACACATACAAGGATAATTTATAGAAAGCTACAATATTATGGTCCTCTCTGAAGTAGAGAGCCAAACATACTCAAAATAGTTAAAAATTTCATAGAGGAGACCAAAGAAATTAAACAAGAAACTCAACAGCAGTCAGCTGGTAAGGGTTTAGAACAGAGTATACCTCCAAGGGAGTCAAAAGCTTCACCAATTCCATCTCATGTTTGTCATCTTGGTACCTAACAGGTGGTCTGGAGTTGTGCAGGGCTTGATCTCTCATCTTCTCTATTTCTGATAATCTTGTAATAGGGTTTGTCTCATCAAAAGTTATCTGTAACTCGGTGCTTGTTTGAGTAAAATACTCTGAGTAAGACTGCTGGCTTTTCTCTCTCTCGGGTGGAGCCCCTGGTAGCCGGAACTGGACTTCCTTTGGTACTTGTTCACCAACTCGTTGCTGCCATTTCTCTCCCACCTGCTGTGGCTCTTGAGGCCATCTGAGCAGAGGGCTCCCTGCACTTGGGTGAAGGGGTCCCGTGCTCCTGGAGGGGAGCTCTCCAGAGTGCTGTCGCTCCTGCATGCTCCCCTCGAAGTCCGGTGTGTGGGTACAGTCTTTGCCAATGTTCTTTTTCTGGATTTCACATTGGAGCAAAACTAAGTGATGTTCATGCTCCTTTATCTGCTGGTCCATTTTCTGCTTCAGCTTTTCAACTTCACTTTTCTGGGCCATCAGTTCACCTTCCAGTTTCTGGCATTTCTGGTAATGATTTGCTTCCACATGCTGCCCTTGCTGCATTTGTTCACGGTATCGTTGGAGCTGTCTTTCAAGTTCTTTAATATTTGTTTCACAAAGCTTAGCATTCTCTTGAGCCCTGCAGTTTTCTTGTTGAAGAGATGCAAAGTCAAGTTTAATACCTGATATATCATTTTCGGTGATGACCTTGGACTCCATTAACTTTTCCATTTTTTTCCGAAACTCCTCTGCTGAACGTTTGAATTTATCAGACTCTTCCTGAAACAGAACCATCTTTCTGTGGGTCATCTGCTCTTCAATGGTCTTTAGGTGCAGTTCATCTTGAACCTTTTTTAACCTGTCGTTTAATTCTTGCACTTGCACTTGCTGCAGCTGAGCTTTCTGCTCACCGCGTCGCTTTTCCTCTTTGGAAGCATTCAGTTCAGCGCTCAGATTTCTAACCTCTTTCTCCGTGTTCTGGATGATAATGTTCTGCTGGTCACATTTCTGCTTAAATTCACTTACTAAATTCTGACTTTTGGCCAGGTCTTCTTCCAAGCTTTTAATTTTTCTGTGGAAATCCTGTTCAGCTTTTGTCTGTTTATGTAAGTGTTCATTTGTATTACGCAACTGATCCTTAAAACCGTCGGCCTGGGTTTTCAGCACTTCACATCTGTGCTGGATGGCTTGTTTCTCTAAGACTACGTTCTTTGATTCCTCCTGAATTCTCCGCATCATCAGTTTGGTTTCATTATTCTGCCTAGTAAGCTCATCAACTTTTTGTTTCAACATTTCTGCACACTCATTACTTTTCTCCAATTCTTCATTGAGCCTCTGAATTTTATCATTATTTTCTTTCTCAGCTTTGATATTTTGAAGCAATTGCTCGTGGCTTTTCTCAAACTCTTCTTTCAGATGATCTGATTTTCTCTGGCAGAGTTGCCCTCTTTCATTGGAGAACCCCTTCTCATCCTGAGCAGAATGAACTTGGGAATTTAAATGGTGAATGTCTCTCTCAGCTACAGCACGTGCCCTGGTGATCCTGTCTACTTCTCTTTGTAGTTTCCCTTTCTCATGATGGAGAGATTCTAATTCTAACTGATAACTGTGTTTTATTTTCTTGAGATCATTTGCTTCTTGCATCACTTCTTCCGCTTCATCTGTGGTTTGGTTCAGCTGCCTACTAAGTTCTCGGAGTTGCTGAGAATACCCCTCCTCTACTTGATCCTTCCTTTCCAACTCCAACTTAAGACACTTTAGGGCACTGTTTGTTTTATCCAGTTTCTCTTTTAGCAAACGAGCCTTCTCCTCAGACGAAGTCTTCTCAAGCTGGAGAGCATTAAGCTCATACTTTAGCTCTCTCACATCCCTCTCAGCCTTTCTGTTGGCGGTGGTCAGCTCATCCACCTGCTGTCTGAGCTCTTCTGCCTTCTGCTTGTCACGCTCCTTCTGAAGACCGTCTACTCCCATGCAAGACACAGCCTGTGCTGGCAATGTATTTTCTCTATATGAGTAATGAATTTCATTTATTTTTCTTCTTGCTTCCAATTCAATTTTTTGCTTTTCCTTCAACTGTTTCTCTGCTACCTGTCTTTGAAATGCAAGATCTCTTTCCATCTGCTTCACCATCTTCAAGAGTTCTTCCTCACTGTCTTTCTTTCTTCTTAATTCTTCCATTAACTTATTTTTTTGTTGCTCCAAATCATTCAGATTGGAATCTTTCCTTTTAAGATGGTCTTCCAGTGTTCTTCTGGTAAAGGTGTTTTGTTCTAACTGATTCCGAAAATTCAGGAGGTTTGCTTCCACGGCTGCTCTTTTGGCCTCGGCCTCCAAAGTGAGCTGCCTCACCCGCTCCAGCTCCTGTTCTGTGGCTTCCTTCTCCCTCACTATGGTCTCCAGTTCCCTGCGGTACTGCTGGGCCTCACTTTCAGCCCTAGTCTTCTGCAGAGCAATGTCTTCTACATTCCTCTGTTGCTTTCTCAGCTCAACTTCTGCAGCCTCTTTGATCTTTGGAAGTTCTTCTTCTACTCGAGACTTTTGCTTCTTTAGTTCAGCTACCATGTTTTCCAATTCATTTATCTTTCCAGTAAGTTTGCTATTCTCAATCACTGTTGCTTTCTGACGCTGAAGCAGATCTGTATATGCCCCATGTTCAGAAGTCTCCTTACATCTTTTCATCTACAAGAGATGTTTTCAAAGTCAAACCTGTTCTGTTCAAATTAATTTACAACAGCTGAAGCAATGTCCTTCTGAGTACTTACAGAGCCAAGTGAACCCAAAACGGAGCAAGCACCACCACCACCAGCAGCAGCACCACATTCTTTGTACAGGAAGCTTCAGAAAGTCAGCGGCAGCAGACAGAAAACCTCCACTATGCATTTTCTGAAGAGTCTTTTTTTGTCTCTCAGGAATAATTTCATTTTTAGAATTATCTAACTCATGCTTTTATAATAAGAAAGGGCCCTACAAAACACGTAGCATGACTCCAACCCTTCACATTTTAGGAAGTTGAGAGGTTAAATAATTTTCAAATTCACACAATGGGTGACAAGGACAGTAACACGTTTACCACAGTGCTCTGTCTGCTTTTCTGAAAAGGCTTCTATCCACTGAGAAACACACACAGATTTCAGATACCAAGTACCACAAAAGAATTCAGTTTTTAGCAGCTAACCCAAAGGATGCCTAAAAAGATGCTTACATTTCCATGTATTATAGTTAAAAATTCAAAATGGAGAACTTCAGAACAGAGAGCCAAATTCAGGAATAATATGTAACCTGGGGAAGGAGGAGATGACATAAAACTTGAAAATTCTCAAGTTAAATTTCTTGTTTACACTTGCCACATGATGCCAATTATAATAATCGAAAGTGCTAATGCAAAGGCAGCCCTTGTCCTGAGGGTGGAGAATCTGCGCTTGATATACTCACACGTGTGGTAGTTGATGTTAATGACTTGTCTTCTGTGACTCCACCTTGACCAATACTTCTAGATACCCCACAAATACAAAGATAGTTGTGAATACAAATTTATTTTAAATATACTCAAGGATTCATTTCCAATTATTAAATGAAATATAGGAATTTTTAGCTCACTGATGTCATAATCTCAGCTAGGAGGAGTCTACTTCACACTGACAGACCTACTTAATCAGGATTGGTTCTAATGACAATGCAAAATGACTTACTAGTATATTGTAGTTTAGTATCATTGACTCAAAATCGCCATCGCTGGCAATAATTTAAACAGGAGCAGAGAAAGTGTTTTAGATAGCAGGTCTGATTTCATTGAGCTGCTTTGGTAAATTTCCAGGATTTAATTTATATTATAGACCAGTGATGGCAATCCTTTTAAAGCTTTCAATGATAACAAATAGCAGACTATGGAACATGTGCTGTAGGTTTGCAACCACTGTTACAGACCACACTATTATTTTCACTTCTTTAATTCATTGTCTTCCAGTCATTTTGACAAGAATTTCAGTCTTTTTGTTTGCTAACCTAAACGCAGTTTTCTTAAGAATTCACACAGAAACATCAAATCATAACGTGCTGTGCTCAAGGCACTATTTACTTTGGGTCAGGTCAACTCTCAGTGACACTAAGGAGTTTTATCTATTTAAAATATTAATTTTTAATTTTTTTATTACTTCTAAGAGGGTGTTTCCCAGTTTTTTATCAAACTTCCTTTAAAACTTAGTTATTGCTAAGAGACTTTCGGCACTTTTTTTTCTTGGTTATGTTATTTTCCTCAGGAAAAAAACGTATCTATGACTGAGTCCTCAATATTTACTTAAGAGTAATTTTAGTGATTTTTTTTAATAATCTTTATCTGGTGACTCTGAATATTTTAGCAAATGCTAGAAAAGTTACTTGAAATAATTTAGATCAAATGACTTCCTTTATTGTGGATCTCAAGGTTATTCACATAAAACAACCACAAATTTTCTCTGATGCAATTAATATATAATTTGCTCTCAACATAAAGAATCTCTTCATCAAATCTAATATCCTTTACAGACGCTCTATGATACTTCTCTAATTTGGTATTATTCTGAAATTAACTGGCACCTATCTCTGATTTTATGCTTGTTATGAAAAACTGTTTCCAGAACAAGGCTGCTCATGGGCTGTTCAGGACTCAGTTTCAGAAACACTATTTTTTTGAATCTAAAAACTGAAGTCTAAAAATCTATCTTTTATAGCCCATTGTATTACTATGACCCTTAAATGGTAGGGTTTTTAATCTATTAAATTTTAGTCTTTGCATATTATCTTCCATAAATATACAATTTTTGATTTTCAATTTATTATAAATCTTTGATCTTTCAAAGGTATGTAATCATGATTTCTATTTATTTTAGGCCTTTTAAAATATCTCATTTCTATCAACTTCTGCCTTATCAGAAAAATGAAGCCAAATAGCCCATATGTATAATCACATATACACTGTAAGAAAGCAAGAAATTTTTTGACTCTATATTTAACTACTATTTATACACATTAAAAGATATACATGCCATTTAACATGGAGTAAGACCTCTCAAAAATTAAAAAGGTAAAAAAATTATAGATGATCTTTCATGTGGAAGAAGTGCATAGTCATTATTAAGATGATCACAAGTATTCCAATTTTCCTTCCTAAACTCTAACAGAAGCTTGCTATAAAGTCTTACTAGCTCCATTAGTGATTTAGCATCAGAAAATAATGTTAGCACAGAACAGACTAAAATAGTTTACAAAAGCACTCACATTTTCAGAAACAAAGACAGTAACATCTAATAGGCATCTAATACTTTTATTGGTCTTTCACTGGATGAAATGAATTTTATCAACTATAATCACCTTCAGTATTTCAACACAATCCAACTGCAATGCTGATGTTCCACATTTTACAAGTCATTTATTTTAGAATTCAGTCTACTATTTTTGTCTGTTCTGAGGCTAGTAATAGCATAAAAAGATAACAGAGCAAAGAGTAATTCCTTTGAGATTAGAAACACCAGCCTTTCATGACAATTTATTTTTACAAGTAAAAATCCTTAATCTATTTCTGAATATAATTTTTAAAGGCAGAGTCAAAGTTTACAAGTCCTCCAAATTAGAATACTTACAGAATCTTTTTATCATGAATCATATCTTTTGGGCAAAAACCCAAAGGCCCAATCCCCACAATACTTAAAAAATAGGCATGTTTTCTATAAACTCCTACTGCTTTAAATTGATGTCTTTTTAATATATTTAAATTATAATAATTTCCATGGAGATAAAAATTCACTTAAAATGCATCAAACAAATGTGTTCATGCAGTATTTCTGTAGATATCACAATAGTGGTAACAATACTTTATAGAGAAATGTACTTCTCATCTGTGACAAAGCTGAAAAAATTCTGCTACACTGCCAACATTCCCTAAAATAAGTAGAACCACTTAAGATAGTAACACTGCCAAACTAGGGTCTTAAAGTAAAAAAATTATATTTATTTTCTTTCATTTGTTTGCAATGCTGAAGACTGAACCCAGGGCCTCACGTATGGCAAACAAGTGCTCTACCAGTGAACTACATCAGCAGTCTACTTGAAGTGAAAATTTAAAAATACTTTTCTATTTGAAAGAATCTTTAAAAAGAAACAAACAAAATTCCAAGGCCATTATTCTTTTTCATTGTCAATCTGTAAATTCATCATGAAACTTGTCACTGCTTCCCCAAACTGTATCAAAGCTCCCACGCATACCCAGCTCCTTTCTATTTAACCACCCACAGGCATTACCTCCTCCTCTTCCAGTCTTTTTAATGAATCACCAGCAAATTTAATGTACTGTGTCATCAGTGTGACCAGAGCAGTGTATCGTGTCCGAAGGTCCATAAACTGAAAGTAAAAAAAAAAATAACAAAAACATAATTTCCTTAACAAGCTGAATGAACTTTCAGTAATAATTATAGTATTATCCAGGCTTTGGGAGTGTAAACTATACAACTCCTCTATAATTGATGGTTGCTGGCTAGCTGGTCCACATCATATGAAATACTTCTATTAAATTTAATTAGGAAGTACATATTTATTTATCTCTGACATAGTAACTAATCTTGAATTCACCTTGATGGTAAAATGTTTTGCTAAAACACATAACAAAATGTATTGTTATGGGGTAAGAAAAAGAACTCTGGAAATAAACAGTGGTAAGGATTATACAACATTGTGAGGCACTAAAATAGCATTAAAGTATACTTTTCTTGTTTTTTTGAAACAGGGCCCCCTGCCTCAGCCACTGGAGTGCTGAGATTACAGGTGTATGCCACCACATCTGGCTAAAGTATGTATTTTTAAATGGCAGATTTTATATTACATATATTTCACCACAATAAATAATAAAATTAATTTTTAAGACATTGTTTCTCCCTTTTACACTCCTGCCCCTCTCTGATAATTTTATCACCTCTTGAATAATGACATCTGCTGAGCTCTGCATTCTCCGGCGCTTCACTGGAGATTTCTGCTGTGAATCTACCATGGCTCGGTAGGTCATCGTTTGTAGTTCATAGTCCTGGGGAAGAATCAATATGATAAAATGAAAGGCATGCCCTGAAGCTTATATAGAGAACAAACCCAGGGAATTGGAACCTAGTTTCACTGAATTAATTGTGAGTAAAGAAAATATTCTAAAACTGCCTTTTTAGAAATCAACCTGATCTTGGAATTGTTTCCAAGGTCGGGATAAAAGAAGAAACATAAGATAGTAAGGAAAGTGCATAGGTCTCTTTGGAAGCTCAGGAAAGCATTTACTAGCATATACACCATTCTAGTCGCAGTCAGCTTCCCCTTCCCCAGCTCAGCAATGAAACTGAGGGTCTGGGACACTGCGGAATTATTAATAAAACCTGAAAAGTATGAGAAACGTCCCCTCTGTTAGAAAGTTAGAGCTTCTGTCAATGTTAAACAAAAAAAAATAGCAAAGTGGTAAGAAAGCAGGCTTGGAGCTGTGTATTTATTCTGGTGTGAATAGGTGTGAGCGCGGATGGATGTGCGGTGGTTTTTTGTTTATCTGTTTGTTTTGGTAGGGGTGCATGTGTACTTATGTGACTGGAGAAGAGAAAAAGAAGAAGAAAAGAAAGTAAATAAACCAATTAGAGGGTTTCACCTGACTTAGATTTCACAAAGAATTACTAGGTAAGTATAAAATAAGTTCAAATATGGATTTTCTCTTTTTACATTTCAACACAGGGTGAAATGTCCTTAAAAGTATAGTATTACATACTTGAGTATAAAATCTGACTAAATTGAATGTTCTTACCTTTACTGAAGCTGAGTACTGTTCTGCATATTTTTGACATTCATCCATTTTGTTCTGTTTCATTTCTATTTCAGACACCAGCATCTATAACAGTTTAAAAGAAAGGAGGAAAAGAATTCCATGCTATTCTACTTCTTAAAGATGCTCGGCAACTAAGAAATAGCCATATCCCTTAACAGTACAGCTCCTGAGCCCTTTTCACTTACTATGCAACTTGCCTTATAGGTAAATTGTGAACCACCAGAGTATGACCCATAAGGGACCCACTCTCATGAGGCTTCCAAAACAGAAATTACAAAATTCCACAGCAATTATTCAGAACAGACTTGATGCCCTTGACTACCACCCATTTCTGATGAAAAGAGTTAGAAATTACTGCTGGACCCTAAAGACAGAAGAAAAGTCTCAAGGCATTCAACAGTTGGTCCAATATAACTGTTTAACATTTACTACTAGGCATTTCAATTTACGTGGGAACCCACAAAACTATTGTGGCCAGCAAAATATCAGAGAGATTTCTATACCTATGATCAACTGATCACTAGGAAATCTGAAAAAATATCCCAACATGCCTCTTTTTATTAATGCTTCCAAAAACAGCTTCAAGGAAATAAAAATTAGTGGCATTTGTAGGTTTGGGTGGCAGAATTTTAGTATTTATTACATGTTCCACTTTTTGCTAGAGTAGCTTTTTGTTTTAATATAGGAAAGAAAGGTAAGGCTCACGACTGACCAAATGAAGAGACAACCTTGGCAAAAACAACCTTTTTGACATACCTTCTGCTGATTCAGCTGTGTGGCTAAGGTCTTGCTGTTTTCAGGCTGATTCTCCTGAATCTTTCTCTGAGTGGTTTCAACCTGCTGGATCCAATCATCTAAAGGATGACAGGTATCTCTGTAGTACTTCAGGGATTTCCCAATGCCCTCTAAGTCTCGTAACCTAAGAAAACAGTAACAGAACAGTTGCAGTTTCCCACAGAATCCATGAGGAGACAGAAGGTACAGGGAAGGGAGAGACAATAACTACCCTCTGGTTCTCCAGGCACAGCATGGGGTGGGTGTGCTTCAACTGAGCTCGTTTCCAAGGGAACACCATGCTGGCTACAAGCAGAATACGAACACTTGACTTCAGTGTTCAGGAAATACAGTGGTACTGACTGTTCTAGGGATAAGGCCAAGACACAAACACCAAAATGGGGAAAAACTAGAAACTTCACCGTAAGTTTTATCGATTAGAATGTCTTGAACAGCCAAGACTTGCATCAAACAGCAGTCCACTTTTGAAATGAGAAATTGTTCAATGAATGCTCAACTTGGGTTCCCCTGTGCTTGAATACCTGTTGCCATGATTTTAAACAACACATTGGACCTATGAATCTATGTGTCATATTTTACAGAGATGAGATAATATATGTGGACATAATTTTAATATCATAAAGCATTCAATTTATACCAATGTAAGGATAAAAACAAATGAGAAAAGATACTAATCCATTTTTTTCTAATGGGTCCTAAGAGTATTCCATTTACTTTCATGCTTTTAACTTAGTTATTGAGCAAATGACTTCAGCTTTCTTGTATCCTCAATTAAAAGGAATATCAAGACATTTTAATTTGTTTATATTTCTTAGCTCAAATATATACTGTTACATAGAACGCTAGTAAAAAAGTGTATGATTCAGTTATTTGAGTATCAGTTGGCAATAACTACAGAAATATATTACTTTTCCTACAAAAAGGCAAGTAGATTATTTATGCAAATGCCAGAATACACCAATGGTGTATTTTAATGACCTGAAGGTGAGATGTGCTTACTTTGAAGTTTAATGTCTTGCTAAACTCTACTATATAACAAAACAATATAACTAGGCAGAAGTCTTATAATTAACACACTGGAACTTTTGTAAAGCTTAATAAACTAATTTTCTTCATATACACAGACATTAATGTGTGCTTAAACTGAACAAAAAAGGGCACCAACCTGTTGTCAATCTGCACATGAACATTTTGCCACCTTTCGACTAACTGATCTGCTTTTTCTTTGTGCCAGTCAAAGTCAAGGTCCCGTTCTTTATACGTCTTAAACATTTCATCACTGATGGCTTTTGCTTTCTGCAACTCATCCTCCAGTGCATGGAATACTTGTCTCTTTGCATCTACTTCAGTCCGCCATTGCTAAGATACAGCAACGGTGAGAGTTACAAAAACGTATTAGTCATGGAGAACACATTTTCACCTATGTTACAATTTATTTACAATGGCTATATAAAATCAGATAAAGAAGACTACCTTTCATGCATTATATTAGCTTTAACCTTATTAAATGGCCAGTATTTGACTATCCTTTCATCCTCTGATCCTTAAAAATTGACGAGTTTTATAAATTTTGCATAATAGACTTTGCATATCAATAACTAAGATATATTCCATAAGCAAGTTTGTTGCCTCATTAAATAATATTAAGTCTTTTCTATTATTTGTTACTAATCCCACTGTTTGCAATGAATGCATTCATTAAAAACCACTGAGTTAACTTTACAATGCTTTGCAGTAGTTTTACTTGGTGGTTTATATATAGAAATTCAGATACATACGAGTACAGTCACCAGACTTTCCCTTTCTTAGATTAACTCTTCTTTTTACTTTCTTGATACTTTAAAAATAACTACCTCTATTACTATTAACTTAGACTTAGGTTGAATTCCTCTTGCCATTAACATGAATTAACTATGAAAAGCCGCTGAACCTTTTGGTTCAAGCTTCAAATGAAAAGCACATTCTTCAAACTAAAACTCATAGATGCGTATGTTTACAGTAAGCTGTGGAATTATAGATATGAAATGGAATGAATACAAGTAAGATATCTGGTGCTTTATATTTGAAGATGAACTCAGTGTGGGAGAAATACTTGAGGAGTACGATTTAAAAAATATCCACAAATTAGACGCTTACCTTTAAAGTACTTATTAAGTTTTCAATATTATTCTTGTCAGCTGTAAGTGCTTCTTCTTCACACAGTTTGGTTTCATACAGTTTTACAAGGGCTTCTGCAGCTTGAGTGTTTTTTAGTACTAAATTGACCGTTTTCAACCTATAAAAGGGAATTAAACAATAATTCCTGTTGTTAAATGTTTACTTTTGCATAATGTACTCCCAAAGCTCCATTATCACAAATGACATCATCACAAATGTCCTCATCTGAGAACACCTTGAGAACACACTGGCTGTGAGATGCCATTCGGTGACCTGCGGAGGTGGGGATACTGAGAACTGAACCCAGGGCCTCTTCACTAGTGAGCTACACCCCCAAGCTTTGTTACTTTTTTTTCCAAGATGGGGATAGCTAGCTTGCTAAGCAGCCCAGACTGAGCTTGCATTTGCAGTCCACCTGGCCTCCCAGAGTGCTGGGATCATAGGCATGATCAAGGCCACCATAGCCTTGACACCACGTGCTCCAGCTCATGCCTACCTCACAGGTGGCATTTAAGAAAAGACGTTCTAACATAAAACAGTTTCTCCACTTGCTTGAGCCGAGCATGACAGGAAAAACCTGTAAGCTACCACAGCTGAGCTATGACACTGAAATGTGGGAAGATCACACTAACACTATGCATTAATCTCTAAGGCACATTCTCTTCCAACATGGAGAAGTGTCAAAAATCCATACAGATATTTAATATACCTCTTAAAATAAAATTAAACATTTATGTTCAAAATAGGAATTTTTAAATTAGCAGCATATAAAAGTGGCAGCTGTTTGAAGCACATTATGTAGGAACACAGAAGTTACACACTTCTCTGTGTATGTGGAAGACATGGAGCGGACTTGGTTCATGTTCTGAATGACCGCGCTGAGCTCAGACCGCAAGGTGGGCACAGACAGAGAAGCGGCAGCCTGACTGAAGAATTCTTCGCACTTATTTGTGATTGATCCCAAATCATCTTTAAGTCTTTCTAGCTCTTTCTTTAGTTTCTACAACACAAAGAAAAAAAAAATAGATATTAAGCAAATGAGATATTTTTCTTAAAACAATTTAGAAACCCACTTTACATTACCACTTACTTAAAAATCTACATATTTTTCACTTTTTCTTCAACAAAGAAGCTAAGATATGGCATTCCAGTTTTATAGTCAACAGTGCAGTTTCCTCCATGTCCATGTCCTTAAACCTCAACACCTAGCTTTGTGCTCTGGCATACAGAGGCATGAGGCCTGTGAAGCCAGCAGGATTCGAGGAGAGGAATCTGCTCTGGTGTTTTCCCGGCCAGAAGGAGAACTGAACTGCAGAACCCTCCTTTACAACCAGCAATAAATACCTGATTAGGCCTTACCCAGTAACCAGTGTGCAAAGCTGAGCAAGTAAAAAATTCCAAGAGGAGATATTTAAGGTCCCTAAGAGCCAACCTTAAGCTATTTTTCCCACATGTACCACGCTCACCTCCTGCTCTGCGATTCTGAACACACTTTCATGCAAATCGTCTCTTTCCAGGGGAGTTCGGATCTGTCTAATCAACCGATCTTCACAGTTCTCTAACCGAAGTCTAATGTTTCTAACTTCAGAAATGTACAGATTGTAAACTGATTCCTCTTGCTCCTCTGTGAAAATAAATAAGTTGTTTAGAAAATGTCTTTTCTACTTTGAGTGCTCTTGTTCTTGTTTTAACAGGAGTTTTACAATTAGAGTTACAGCCGTCACACTAACAGTTCAGAATGGTTTCTGTTATCAAAAATGCACCTTAAAGTAATAAACCTTAAAATGACTTTTAAAAATTAAGAAGAGTCAATAAAATTTCCCTAATACCATCTGAAGTACCAGTCTCTGATTTATGATGTCCAAAGAAATCAATATGCTGTTCTTTTTGTAGTCATAAAAATTATGTTGCAGGTTAATTATAAAAATTATAAATACTTGCAAGTGAAAAGCAGGTAAAGAATGTGTTAAATGTTGAAGACTTAATAAAACAGGCTATTACTACGAAAATCACTTATCTCTAAATTTTTACTTTTTTCTTTTCTTTTTTGTTGCAGTGCTGGGGATTAAACCCAGGACTTCATGTGTGCTTGCCAAGTACCTACCACTGAGTCATGCCCCCAGCCCTCAGCTTTTTCTCGTGTTCCAACAATTGCATCATTTATCATATGCAGATGGTACAATACACGTAAGATTGAGATCTCCACTGAGAGTGGAAAATAGCATGGACTAAATGCCCACTGGAAAAAAAAAGACAGAAAGCCCTATACTTTACCTCTTTCTGCAGATTTAAGAAGTTCTTGATAATACTGCTTACATACATTAACTTCTTTTTCCAGTTGAGTTATATCTGAGCCTGAAAATATTTGGGATTCCTGGCTATCTTCCAGAAAATCTTCAAATCGTGACTGTAGATTACTCAGAACTTGCTGGTGTTCACCAGGCAACATTGTCTTTATCTAGAAAGGCGCAAAGACCAAGATACTGAGTGTTAAACTGGAATGACATCGATCTCAAGTTCATCTCATGGCATATTCCAGTTTACTAGTCACAAGTAAAAGAACCATTTAAAATTCCTACTTTTTTATTAGCAATTTCAGGTGTTGAAAAAACAAATCAATGAAATTTAATAAGTGAAATCACACTATACCCACGCTTTGTATGTCTAAATACTATGTCCTATCTCTCTACCTTTCAATAAGCATGGAATGAAATCTGTGATCTCCAGATTATGGTTTAGGTGAAGAGTCCCTTAAGAACCTCATGTGCCTATAGACAGGACTTTCAGAAGGTGACTGAATGGGGGTGGGGGCAATACAGCTCACAGGGTAACAGGAGATGGTCACTGGGGGCCTGACCTGGAGGGGGGCACCCACTTCCCAGATTCCTCCCTCGCCCCCTGCTTCCTGGCCACCGTGACATGCGAAATTTTGCACTGCCCAGGTCCTTCTACTCTGACGTCCTGTCATGCAGCTGGCTAACCATGGACTGAAATCAGAAGCCAGAATAAACCTCTCCTCCTTTAAGTTGCAGATGTCAGGTGTATAGTTCCAGGGATGAGGAAAGTGACTAAGACATTAATTCTCAGAAAGCGCCTTGTACCCAGCAGGCATGGAACAGGTACTCACTGAGTGCTTGAACATTAGCATGAATCTGCTGGACTCTATCTTACTCTAGGTAAATACCAACTCCACCTCACTCAGAAGATGTCCCACATGGATATACTGAGATGATATCTACATTTACACTTACAGAAGCCACGTTGCTAGCTCGAACTCCATCAATTTCATTGATGAGATAATGCCAGGACACTACACTCTTCATGTTTATGTGAGATTCATGCCAAAGACTGAGGACATTCTGATACTGTTGCTCAATTCTGAAATGTATGAGAGAAACCACATCTTTTAATAGTTCCTTCTGAAAATATTCTAAACCCTGGTCCTAGGGAGCCTTCACACAGCACTGATTGTATCTTTCATCTTTAAAAGGCCTCTAAACCAGCTGTTGTTTTTGATTTTTGTCTTTTTTGTTTGTTTGTTTGTTTTCCTGTACCAGGAATTGAACTCACGACCTTGAGCTTGCCAGGCAGGTGCTGTACTGCTGAGCTAAATCCCCAGCCCCTAACCAACTGCTGTTAATATTGAATGCATACACACCTATTTGCAAAGTCAACTGCCTCTTTGTTTGGGGGAGGAACAGTGAAGCACACAGACGGAACCATCGCCTCATTCCCAGTAGGACTGATGACCTTCCACTTAGCACGGTGAGAGTTATTTGCCAAAACACATTCGTCGTCTTTGTAAATGGTTATCTAGTTTTAAATGAAGAACAGAACAACTAAATGAAGTCACCATTAACTAAACCTTTCCATGCTTAATCTTTGGATTGTTTTTGCGAGGTGCAAAACCTTATTCAGAGGAAGGATTATGACACCATTTTAAAAACACATGAATAAGCCAGGTGTGGAGGTGCACACCCGTGATCCCTGTACTCAGGAGGCTGAGGCAGGAGGATCACTATGATTTCAAGGCCAGACTGGTTTACACAGTGAGTAAGAGCAGGCTGAATGATACAGCAAGACCTTGTCTCAAAAAAACAAAACAAAAAAGGATAAGGGCAGAAAGTGCTGCTTTTAGGACTTGTAAGTACCTCAATTTGTCTGTAGTCACAGATAGCCGTGATGGGGACAGAGGTTTTGAGTGGGCAGTCAGGGTTCCGCGGCTTGAGCTGAATTATGGTTTTTGCTCTCCCCATCAGGCTTGCGACTGTGCTTTTGTACTGCAGAAGCTCTTCCTTCTCCTCCTAAGCAACAGAGAGAATGGATTCTGAAAAGTGAAAGACGTGCACTCTCCATTCCCTGAGGGATTTCCACAAAGAAGCTGCACCAGCAAAGCACTCCCTGACAACCTGGCCTCAGCTTCCCATCTCTGCTCAGTCCCTCTGGCCTCTCCTTCCCTTACTTGGACTGGTGGTTTTTCCCTCTGTAGCAGTTACCAATATGGAACACATTATATATATTTTATTCATGCAACGTGTATCGTTTAGCTCCCCTCCAACATGCAAGCACCATGAAAGTAGAGATTTTTGTCTGTTTTGTTCACTGCTTCATCTCTGCAACCCAAAACAGTGCCTGGGATAAAGAACATTTTAAACAAATATTTGTGAAATTAACAACTAAACACACCCATATAAAGAACACCACTGAAGTACTTTAAAATGTGAAGGCTATCACCTTAAAAAACCTTTGTTGTATTTATTATCAAAAATACTAAAATAGTGTTTAAATACTTACTTGAATAAGGTGGAAATATTGAATGCCAATAAAATATAAATTTCTGCATATGCAAAGCTACAATGAAACATTAACTGTTAGTAAGTGTTAGCGATGAAACACACAGGCTTTTTGTGTTCATACCATTGATTCCTGAACAAGGTCTTCCAGCTTGTGAATGCTGCTTGATCTGTCACAACTGTACTTCCGCTGAATGGCATCTTTGAGATTCTTTAGGTAATCAGTAGCTTCTTTGGCATCACTGAAAAACTAAGAGAAAATAAAATGTGGTGATTAAAGTATGCTAGATACCTGCAGAGAGCCAAGCTGTCAGGTTTAGGTGTCCAGGCCCTATATACCACTCATGACTGAGAACAAAATAAAGCACACACAAAAAAGGTTTATCCTCCTCTGAACCCGACAACCCTTGACCTTGGATGGCTCTAAGAGGGGGCTGAGAGTCTCAGGTTTCTATGTGTGTATCACGCTTGGGCTCTGTATCATTTCGGTTTTTTTTTTTTTTTCTTTGGTTTTTCTCCGGTACCAGGAACCGAACTCACGACCTTGCGCTTGCCAGGCAGGCGCTTTGCCGCTGAGCTAAATCCCCAGCCCCGGCTCTGTATCATTTGGATGGGAGGTCTATTTCACTTTAGGGATCTATCAATTTTTAAGTAGGGTAGAATTCTAAGGATATCTTAAATGTCCCGAAAAATAAAACGAAGAGCTGCCTTGGTTGACTGTCTATAATGAATAACATTTCCTTAATAGGAGACATGTTTTTAGAATAAAAAGACTGTATAATGTGTCAGAGTTTTAAAAGGGTTTCTGTTGTGATAGCATGCTGCTTCTCTCCTGCAGGTATGTCCTAATAACTGACGAAGATTTCCAAAAGTCAGCTGAAAGCTCGGTGCTGTCCACTGAAGCTGTGATTCTCTCCACGTACCTCCAAATATGCGGTGTTCTCTTTTATGTGCTGCTCCACACACTGGCAGAGCTGTAGGACCCAGCTCCACTGAGTCTGCATTGCTGCTTTGTAGGCCTGAAAGATAAAGCACAGTCCAAGACTGGCTGGAGAGGGTGGGCACCCAGACAGGGATATAGTGGGGCACAGTGCTCGTTCAGCACGCAAGAGGCCAGAGGTGCTACCCCAGCACAAGAAATAAGTAAAGGTGAGAAAAGAATGAGGTGTGTGCACGTTGCCGCTGTTTAAACAACAAAACACTTCGCTGTCTACACAGACGATGGTCTGTTCTGACAGACTGAAGCTTGGAAACCGAGGTAGCCAAATGTTCCTCTTCATCTAAGAGTGTTCCCACAGCCAATCCTAAAGTTTATGTGGAAGTTTTTAAATCAATCCAGTTGATTACTCTCAAAATTTAAACTTCTTGATGATCTTCTTAAAATATAAGAACATGTTAACTCTGGCTACTTTTACACAAAAAAAGTATTTAATGTTTGACATAAATGCAAATCTGCCCTGTGGAACCTTCAAATATGCCTTCCTTTATGAGCTAACACCCTTCTCCCTACTCTTCGTGTGTGATACTGGGGATCACACCCAGGGCCTCTGCACTGGCTACGCACCCAGCCCTTGTTAACTGCGATCTCTGGGAAAGGGCCTTAAGTTATTAAGCCCAACCTGGGCTCTAACTCTATGATCCTCCTGCCTCTGCCTCTTAGAGTGCTGGGATTATAGGTATCCAATACCACAGCTGGTTCTGAATTCTTATACTACTAACACTCCACAGTATCTTCTAACACTGAAATACACGGTTCTGTAGTTTTCCTCGTTTTTGCTGGGGACAGGTCTGAGGGTAGTGAAAAAGGAAGTACATACTTCCTAGCAGTGTGGTTCTGGGATCATGTTAATTATGATACATGAATTTTACTTAAAAATTGTTTACTTGAACTTTTATTTAATACAAAGTGCCTCCTTCATGAGGGCAAAAAGTACTGTAGACTGGGTATCTGCTTGGTGAACATCAACCACCCTTGTATGGCCACGGTGCGTTCGCTGCCTTCCAGGAGAGGGCACTTGAGGCTCTCATAACTGCGGGACAGCCTCCCTTTGGAACACGCCCTCCTGCTCCTGCGGGGCTGTGTTCACGCAGGCCTTCTGAAGAGCAGGCACTGCTGGAAACCTGCCAGCACATCACAGCCACATCATCTGCTCAATCGAATTGGGCTATTTTGCGTTTGCTGCTTTCTGGTGCAGGGACTGAACCCAGGGCTGCCGCTGCGCCCCAAACCCACATGTTCACCTAATCTAAGTACACTGTGCGCTGTTACTTTAAGTAGTTTTTTCATACAAAATAGGAAAGTGTTGGTAATTAATTAAATACTATCCATTATCTGTACTGAGTACTGGATAGGCCAAAGGCATCAGCAAGGTGACAAAGGCTTCATTTTACTCCATAAAAAACTTTCAGATATCATTTCTACATAAAAATAACCAGATTCACGTTTACATTTTCCATTCCCATCACAACTCTAACATATAATCTCATTTCCTAACCGCTTTCTCTCTCTGCCCTATGTTTCATTTTTCGTTTATTACTGAACAAAAGTATACCCTGAACTCCATTATGCTATCTCCTTTCCTGGTGGGGGCCCTACCTTATGTCTTTAAAATTTTAAGTGGAAGTTCCTATCAATATAATCTATATTTCATATCAAAAAGGTTAAATACTGTACTCCTAAAACACCCTAATGAGGCCTAATATTTTGTGCAACAATTTTAGTGGACAAAAACTATGTGATTCCATCCATTTTGAATCCAAAGCATGTCAGCTTTTATGCACATTCCCCGCCCCGTGTGATCTAGTATCACACCGGTGGGCCCAGGTGTGACACCTTCTGCCTCCATCTTAACTCCCCTCGCATTCAGATACAGGGGTCACTAACTCTGACTAGAATAAATCAGCCCTAAAAATTAAAGCATCACCACCACCACAGCTGCTTGGGCAACCTGAGAAATCCAGTGTCAGCGCTCAGCTCCCACTTTTGAAATTTTCACTACACACCATGAGCAGGGCACTGCCCCAGTATACTTCAACTTCACCAAACCAGGTCACAATAAAAGTACTGAATCAAATCATAACATTTCTTGAGAACATACCAAGTTCCAAGCACTAGACTAAAGGTGTCAGAGTAAATTATTTCTTCTCATTGTCATTCTTCCCCACTTTTGCTAGGGAAATGAAGCTTGGTAAGATTATATCTACTGCAATTTTAAAATAAAATTTAAAAGCTTACAGACAAGTCCTTCATATTTACAATAATCCACCTCATTGGCCACAAAAGACAACAATGCGAGGTGACATATTTAGAGAGAGCAAGAGAACGAAAGGCAAAATCAGCACAATTTGTCAGAAACACTATTTCTGAGCCATACTGTGATAAAAAAAATGGGGCAGTTTGCACTTTTCAACTTATCAGCAATGAAAGAAGGGCAATAATCACATATCAATATTCAACCCAGACTGTTAAACTTTTCTAACTCACCTCAATAGTTAAACGGGCTGGGTGATTTTCTAGAAGAAGCTGCTCCGCTATCTCCTGAACTGATTTAATATTTTCTTCCTTTTGTTCCAGTTCTCTCATTAACTCCTAATTTAAGAAAGAATTAAGGAGTATGTGAGGAAAAAAATCTAACCCTAAAATAGGACTTCAGCACGCAAGTACAAAGGTTGCACTCACAGCGTGGTAATCTTTCTTCCGGGCTATGTGAGTATTTCTCTCACTCCAGTCATAAGCAACTTCCTCCTCTTCCTTTTCATTCAACCAAATAAGTTCATTAGTTGCACGCGTTACAAAATTGTGCAGTGTGTCAAGGTGCCGTTCCTGATTCCTGGATGTATTCTTTATAAAGAAAACTGTTATAAGAATCACATCTTCACTCAAAGAGATAAACGAAACAAAAGGCTTAAAAACAAAAAAAACAGAAAAACTTACCAAGAGTTTTGCATATTGGCTCTCTAACCTGTGCAGCTTTTCTGCATAAGTTAGCTTAAGAGGTGCTGTCATTTGAATCTATAATACAGGATAAAAAGCATCAAGTTTAAAGATCGTAATTCTTATGCTTTGGACATCTATTATTGACTTACAGTACAAAGGTTTCATATAAAGGGCAAAATAATAAAAAAAAAAAAAAAAAGGGCAAAATAATGAAATGGATAAAAATTCTACATTCACATACCTCACTGATTTTAGCTTCTTTAAGGCTAGATTCAAATTCTTCTATAGCTCGGTGAACATTTTTATGATTTTCTAAATGGCTTTCAACACTTGGTAAATCTGAGCCCCATTCAGTGTGATCGAGCTGCACCTTTAACACAAAAATACTAGATTAAAAAAAAAAAAAAAACTGACAGCAATAAAGACTGAAATGCTTACGTAAAAACATTTTCTTTACCTGCATCTCATCAACCCAATTCAAAAGATCCTGAACAAATTTCATGTTGACCTCCTCTTCTGTTAAATTCTGATCCAGCAAAGATGATTTTAAAAGAGGTTTCCGGATCTGCATCAATTTCAGAGACTGCAAAGAATTTGGCTCTAACCCTGGACTGAAGTTTGGAATAAATCCTGATGGGAAGCCAGGTGTATAAGCTGGAGTGACAGAAGGCGTCAGGCGGGAAGTCAGTCCTGATGACAGGCCAGAGGTCACACTAGAAGAGGTCAGGGAAGGTGTTAAACCCTGGGTCAGCCCTGAGTTCAGAGTGGGGTTATAAGTCTGTGCAAACCCTGAGTTCAAACTTTGAGAAATTCCTGATATCATGAGCTTCGTCTGCTCTGCCGTCAGCATGCGTCCTTTGCTGTACACTGAAGAACACTCATTCCTTAAGGCCATAATCTCATCACGCAGTTTTGCAACCCTGAAAAGACAATCAAAAGGGGGTAAGGCAGAGAATAAAAGGCACTTGTCACAAAGGGTGAGTCCTAATGTCAACTGTGGACTTTCTTTAGTAACAATGTACCAGTAATGGCTTATCAATTCTAACAAATGCACCACAAATGCAGGATTTATAATATGGATAGGGTGAGAGCAAAGGGGTTATAACAGCTCTACTTTTAATTGTTTTTCTGTAAGCTCAAAGTGCTCAAAAAAGCCTATTTTTAAAAAGTGATCAATCATATTGGTAAAATTTTGCATGCTGATTTTTTTCACTGATTGTTATACCAGGAGCACTTTCCACATTAGTCTTTATCATTTAAAAGGACTTTCATGTGATCATTCTCCTACTATTTGACATGCAGTATAATTCCAAACACGTTATAAAATATTTCTAGCATGAACATAAATATTTTTCTGTTTTTACATTTTAGCATCTATACTTAGATTTACTGGAGATGCCTAAAGTGAAATCACTGGTTCAAACATGATTTACAAGTTTTGCTTATCTATATACATATATATCTATATACTTATCTATAAATAGAAACTTTCAGGCTGTAATATGAGTTCCCATTCCTAACCTCAAACCCACTTCTTAGAGACATATGTGTTCAGACACATTTTCTCCAACATTTTATTATGAACACTTCTGTAACAAGATAAACAGAAGACTGAAAAAACTGAATTAAAATGGCAATTTTCTTATATTCTTCCTTTTCCAAATGTCTTAGGACATTTATTCATTCGCTTATTTGTTTCATTGTGTGGTGCTGGGACTGAACACAGGGCCTTGTGCACATTAAGTATGTGCTTGGCCCCTGCTTCGTCAGCCTCACATATGTAAACACGATATGTGCAATTAAAATCTTCATTGTAATGAACACTTTAGTTACAACTGCAGTAATTATTTTATGCAGTAAAAATGTTTTTTCTACTACTCATCTTTCAAGAAATGATCACACATTTCCTCTAAAAAGAACTAAGAAATGTATTTCATACAAATGTTACACGTTCTGATCACTAGTGCCCACAAAATATTGAAAAAGACAGAGTAAGCCTAGGCAGCACTCTTACCTCTGCACCAGCTGATCAGCCTGGTAGTATTTTCCATCGATAAGAATCTGTACATCAATGACATGCTGGCGTAAAAGGTTCTCACATTCAAGTATGTACCCGGCAATTTCTGCTTCATTCTGAAATTGCACCCCTGATTCCAATCTTTTGGAATCCTGCATTTAAAAGAACTCAATATTATGTCTATGAAATAAGTATTAGAATTAGTCTTAAATTTAAAACTCCAATTATTAGGACAAAAGCCTACTTGGGCTTTTTTGTTTTACTTTTTGGTTCAAAAACGTGTTTTCCCTTTGCTCACTGACTTTCCAGAGAGCAAACATCAATCCATCATTCATAAACTAAGTTTCTTCAGTAGGGGAAATATACCAAGAATCAAGCAAATGTTATTCAAAAGTTTCAGTTCATCGAAGCACACACTGAGCCCTCTCTAACACCTAGGGGCTCCTACACTGCACTTACAGACTGGAGAGCATTTCGGGCGAGCATCAGTTTGTCCTCACAGACAACGCTGTCCCTCTGGACGCGGCTGGCAATCTGCTGTAGCATTTCCAACCTAAAAGAAGGGACAAAAGGAGAGAAAATCAGAGTGCACATCCCTGAAAAATACTGTCATCCTGAAGCCCACACCAGTGACCCAGTACCTGTGTCCTTCAAAGGATTCATTGCCGAAGCTAATGCAGGAGTTGATCAGGGTTGGACCACAATGAACAGAGAGAAAATTTTCATTTGAATCCAGACTGGTTCGAGTGCTGGTAGTGTTACTAAACACAGAATCGCTGCTTCGGTAACTATAACTACTACTATGCATTTTTAGTCCTGAAATGATGTTCTCTGACCATTAAAAGTTGACTAAGAACTAGAAGGTTTAGAAAAGCTCTACCTCTAATGGTGAAAGTGGCAGCTGAATATTACGACTTTGGTGGCTCCTTAAATAGGTTTCAACATGCATATGCAACACACAGCAAATGATATGCTGATAACTGTTCCAAAGAATCTTGCCTAAAGCCATTGGTTTGCTCCCTGAGGTTTGCCTTTTGCAGCCTGAATTAAAGCCCTGCAAGTACAGACAAAGCAGGCAGACTGGGGCGTTGCTGGAAAGATATGCCAAATATTTTCACCAAGAGTCATCCAACTGCAAACACCTAAAAAACAACCCAGATCCCAGAAGCCCAGGTACCACTAGTGAAGGTTATTCTTGACAATAGTAAATAACTGCGAAAGAATAGTAACATTTGATCATAGCCTGACTTCTGCAAAGGCTGGGTCTGAGCAGGATAACACAAGGCAAAGAGCTGAAAACCATCAAGTACCCACAAACAAGAGAAACGAAGTGCATTTCCATTTATGCCACTTGTTCATAAGACCAAATTAACTGGAAGCTTATCCATTTACCTTTTGTGAGACAAGGTGCACCAGGGATGGAATCCAGGGCCTTCACATTGAGCTCTAACCCCAGCCCTTTTTAAAATTTTTTAAATTTCAAGATAGAGTCTTGCTAACTAACCAAGGTGCTGAGGGTTGGGCTCAAACTTGCAGTCCTCCTGCCTCAGCATCCCACAGTGCTAGGATTTACAGGAATACGCACGCCACCATGCCTGGCTTCCTTTTCTAAGCTACTATAGTTGCTTCTTATTTCTGAAAGCTGAAGTGCTAAGTGGAATATTCAACTGCAATAGCTGCAAAGTTAATTTGTGTCTGTTTCACTTTTTGACAAGCTGTTACGCGGCACAGGAGAGGGGCTCTTTCCTGTCTGTCTTTACACACACCATGCTGTGTACCTCTTACTTGTGATGCACGATCAGTGCCAAAAAACGTGTTGTGTCAAGGGAAGTGCAGGTGTTTATCCAACTACTCGCTGCAGCATTTTCCTACCTGCACCATTACAGAGCCAGACTGCCATTTCCGGCAGAAAGATACTTTTCTTTTTCTTTTCAAAAGTAAGAAAGGAGAAATTTGAGAGTGCTATGTCAAATATTTTAAGTGCAACTATTAAAAAATCCCACAATAACATATCTAACATTTGTTAAGCAAATATTATGTACCAGGCTATGGACTAATCATTTTACACACAATGACTTCATCTCAAACACTTCACCACCAAACATGATAGGTGTTATAGCACATTCTGTTTACAAATGGGGAAACCGAGGGTGAGACATTAAAAAGCTTCACAGTATAAGGTCACACAACTTGTAGGCTGAGGAAATAAATGCAATCCAGGATTCACTGGCAGGCTCCTGAGTCCTAAACTCCTAACTGCATTTTAACATAAATAGGTCACTCCATCCTTAAAGCCGAACTATACTAGACAGAACATTCTGCTGTGACTTGAAGGTCTCTGAAGGGCATGTGTTGGTGATTTAACCCCCAAGGCAGTGGTGTGGACAGTGCAACCATCACGGCTCTGCCTTTATGGATAGGCTAATGCTGCCACGGCTGGAGCAGCTTGGCCAGCTGAGACGCCAGGTCTAGCCCCTCTGCTGGTGAGGCTGCCTGCTCTCCCAGAAGGGCCTGCATGTGCACTATGTCTCCTGCATCTCGTCTGTCTCTCCTTACCTTCTCTTCCTTCCCACCTCCACGAGCACAGTGGTCCTCACCAGATACCAGCACCGTACTATGCTTTTCAGCCTCCTGAACTGTGAGAAATAATTTCTTTGGGCGGGGGTGGGGTTGGGGGAAATGCTGGAGATTGAACCCAGAGCCTTCACAGCAGATACATCTCCAGCCCTTTTAATTTTTATTTTGAGACAAGGTCTCACTCAGTCACTGAATTTCCCAGGCTAGGCTCAAACTTGCGGCCACCTGTCTCAGCCTCCAAGGGTGCTAGAATTACAGGCACAGGCCACTACACTTGGCTAATACTTTTTTTCCAGTACTGCTGTGGGGACTGAACCCAGGCACTGAGGTACATATCTCCACCCACTTATATTTTGAGAAAGGTTCTTACTTAGTTTGCTTAGGTGGGACTCAAACCTGTGATCCTCCTGCCTCACCCTCCTAAAGTGCTGGGATTCTGGGCACATACCATGTCTGGCCTGGTCAATGTCTTTTCTTTTTAAATTACTCAGCATGCAGTACTGTATTCTGTTATAGCAACACAAAATGGATTAAGACATATATATTAAATTCATCCACTACTATGACACCTAAACTCTACTCTTCATCTTTTTTCTCTTTCCTTTACTTAGTACCTCATTTTGATCACCCACAATTACTGGCTCCATAAAAGCCTAATCCTGTGAGTTTCAGGCTTTTTTCAATTCCAGTGATCCAGTTTTAAAAATATAACATTATGTTTTAACACACCTGCGATCAGTAATTTAATAAAAGACTGACAAGCCCTTGTTTTCAACATGTTATTTCATATTCTAGTAGCACTGAAGACAGTGTATGAGATACTAACTACAGGACTGTACCGGAGCCAGGCACTGTGTAAAGCATCAACATCACACGGGAGAGGAGAAACAACACACGTCTCCACACTCTTGGGGCTTGGATGTGAGGAACAAGCAGCCCATCATCAAACAGAAGTAAGTACACAATTTCAACCAAGACAAGATGCCCTAACGAAACAAAACAGGCAAAATACGAGAGTGATGAGTCAGGTGAGCCAGCCCAGGAGAGCACATTCAGCTTCCTGAGGAAGAGCTGGGCTCAGGAGTAGGAGACAGCGAGGGTGAAATGGACGGCCCTGCCAAGCAGGGGGCCACACACACCCAGGCAACGGAGGAGGGCGGCCCTCAGCACATACCCTTGCTCGCAGAAAACCTGGAGGCCAGAGAGGCACCACACACACAGGCTCTGGCTGCACGGCCAGAGGAGTGCAGATCACAGCACCTGTGCCTCAAGCTTTAGGACCAGACAGAGACAGATCCACCCAGCATGGCTGCAGGTACAACTCGGAGGCAAAGCACTTGCTTAGGAAGTGCCAGGCCCCAGAGTCTGGCCCCAGCACCACCAAATCATCATCACCAGCACCACCACCATCACCACTACCATCACCACCAGCACCACCATCATCATCACCCATCACCACCACCATCTCATTTCCCAAAGGTGAAGCTGCACCTTCCCTGGGAAACTGAGTACAGCACAGTGAGAGGGTGGAACCATGAGAAGCCAGCAATGATTTCACGAAAGAAATGCATTTGCAGACGCCTGGTAGACAGGGAAGCCGAGCCAGCGCTGACCGCATGTTTTCTCCACACGGCCCTGTTGCTTTCACATGGTGGCAGGCTAGAATCTGCTTTCCACTGCCCATGGCCGAAAAGAAACAAAAAAAGTTAACTGCTAACCTACAGGCATCCAGAGCTAGTGATTTAAACAGGAGTTTAAGAATTATTATGAGTAACTCTGATGGTTTTAAACTCCATTAGCCAGGCACAGAAACCCTAGTACTAAAAGAGGCCCAGGCAGGAAGATCGCCAAGTCCAGTTCCCAGCTAGGCAACATAGCAAGAACCTTTCTCAAAATAATAAAGGGAGAAGGAAGGGTGTGAGGGGCAGGAGATGTACGTCAGTGGTTGAGGGTCCCTAGGTTTGACTGCCAATATCAAAAAACGAAAACAAAATTCCAAAAACTGTGAATACTTATTAGATGAGACTTTACATACCGGTCCAGCCTACCAAGCCCATTCTAATAATTCCTTCATTGCTTTACTCCTTTTAACATCTCAAAGGAGTTTCTACATCAAAACATGGAAGGTCACAAAGATGAGTTACTTATCCAAGGTCACATACCAAATAAATGAACAAGATTAGTATCGGTCCTCCATCAGCCTGGCTCTAAAATTCAAATCCTCTCTCAGAGAACCAGGAGGCTCCTCCACAGGCCCCAGGGATCGGAGCCTCTGCCTACCTCTCCACCTCAGGACGCAGCGCCTTCTCCCGCTCCAGCATGGCCACAATGAGCTTCCCCCACTCCTTCTCGAGGTCATTTGGATGATAACCTTGAAGCAGTTTGATGCGTCCAAATTCTATCCAAATCTTGAGAAAACAAAAACTGTGACTGTGAAGCAAAGATTTTAAAAAATAAAGACAATGCTTGATAATACAAGGGAAATCCCCACTTACCTCTAGGAGCTTATAGAGGCGTTTAATTTTTGATTTTTCTGTCTCCTTTGGTGGGATTTCTGTTTCTTTAAACTGTAAATACTGATTATAAAGTGCCTAAATGGAAGAGAAAATAAATTAAGGGCCACACTTCAAAGCCCTGCTTTCAGTATCTCATTTTTTACCATAACAAGTGCTATGTACTGTATAATGTGCATTCAGTGAAAATTTCTTTATAAAATTAACCCTCAGGGATAGTTGCAATTCCCTGCCAACTAGTGACCAGGGTTACAGCAGAATTACAGAAGAGTTGACAAGGATGTAATTATTCATGTGAGCCATGTTTCAACATGTACCCTGAGGAATCTGAATAATAATGACCAAGACAGGCCTTTTAGGGTTTTATAAAGGTCTCTCAGCACCAAAATAAGAAAGCATATCCTTTAAAAGATGTGCTTTCCAAATGCTGCACCTTAGCTTTCAGTTTTTGGAAAAATAACCTGATGCAATTCCCAAAAAAGAAAGAAAAACATTTTCTATTTCATGTTCTATCCTTGAAAACAGAATTCTTAGCTAAAAGGGGCTAAAATTTGGTTTCAGTGTCCCAATGGCCAATGTAAACAGCTTTTCTTAAATAAATGAAGGTAGACACTATTAGTTGATGGGCCTATTAATAGAGAAGTATACAGTTAAACTAGATGGTTGATATTAATTAGATAATGTAGATATTAATTTACAAACCTCTTAAATATTATGCTTGTTAAAAATTTTTCACAAAAATTATACAGGTAAAATATTTTCTCATTTAATAAGTACATGCTAACAATTCTCTTAATTCAAACTGCATTAAAATAAGTCCCTATAAATCTTCAGGTAGTAACATGTCTATAGAATTGTATTCAATGGTTATCTCGTTAAAACAATTCTTTAGCATTTCTTTGTGGTATTTTCTTTCCTGCATTATGTCTTACTCTATTCTAGGCACTAGTAAATAACCTGCACAGTTACTCAAACTTCTTTGACAAATTTAAGAATTTGCATTTATCAGAGGCAAGTACAAATTCACTCAGAGGTCTAGACTACACGATTGCACCTGGAAGTAAGTGTATTTGACAGTAAAATTTGTTTTGAATGGAAAATGTCTTTTCGGACATTTGTTGGGCATTAAGCCCTCAGTGTCACCATGTGGAGCCCCATGTTTGCGGCACCAGGGTAGTAGGAGGGAAAAGCTTTCCCTGCCTGGAGAAGCTGGCATTCACATAGGTAGACATCATACCAACAACACCAGGACACTTTAAAAATGTATCTTATCGACAGATGCCAAGTGACTTCATGCCGAGGACAAACTCCCTGTGGCAGCGTGGACACAAGCTATGCTCCAGATGTTCTGTGCAGATGCATGAGCAGAATGAGTAACTCTACAGGGCCCAACATGGGTTATTACAGTTTCCATGATTCCCATCTGAATGTGACAACAAAGTTCACAAATTAAGGAATTCAGGCTTTGTAGTCAATATTTAATTATCAATTTTTAAAATAGAGTGCTTTGCTATTTCAAACCCATATGCACAAAATGAGTCAACTCACTCTGTTGTAAGTTTATGTATCTATGCCTTTTATATTGCTATACATCTTTCCCTCCCAGAGTCTGACCGAAGATTTTTGGTATTAGAGAATATTTGGCTAAACCATCTGCCTGCTAACACCAGCCTTTTGAGTGCCAATTCTGAATTTACGTAATAAAATTCAGGACAGGAGAGGCCCCGGAGGCAACGTGTGACAGACTTGAGGGAGCTGCTCCCCATCACTGGGGCGTGTGCAGGATCCCCGAGGTCTCCTCCCCAGCCACTGTGGGCTCAGCACTTCCCACCACCAATGTGGCAAAGCAAGCCCCGGGCTTTTCAGCTCTCAACAAATGTAGCTTAGACACTATCAGTCTCTTTAAGATGCTACTGCTATTATGTTTTAATTATTAATATTTATGTATATTTTCTCTGCATAATAGGGAAAAAAGTAAATCAAAAATTTGCCTACTTATTCTGGCTTGCCAACAGCAATTTTCTTGAATGCCTGAAATTATGAAATTATGAAAGAATTTAGCTATGAGTTTCTTATCAATCAATCCTGGTTTACTTGCATGACACCAACCTTTAGTTCTACAGGATTATTTGGAAATGTTCTCTCAGACATTGTAGTCACATGATGTCTAATCCACTGGATGAGGTAGTTCACCATATTCTGGTATTCAATCCATTTGACTTCAACATCCTAAAGTAATAAAATGACAAGGTTTGTGTTTGCAGATAAGAACATTCACACCCAACACGATTTGGTCAGAAGTCGTCATGTGAATTCTTCATATGCTGATGCCTGACAGAGAGAACCAGCTGAACAGTCTCTTACTTTCCACTCAGCCACAATCCACTCCACATACACAGCTTGAAGAACAGGCCATCAACGTTTGGCCACTAACATTCTGTTCCAAAGATGGTGGCTACCCAGGGTGTATCCAAAGATGGTGGCACTGAGGAGGCTTCTGAGTCTACATCCAAAGCAACAGTAAAAACCAATGCCAGGATCAATTTGAGGTGCTTTCCAGGGCATAGGAAGCGGGAGTTAACAGCGTGCATAAGACAGGCCAGTCATCTCTGCCAAACATTGGAGAGCAAAGTCCACTGAACAGCTGACACTCAGAAGAGTTATACGATTCGTAGAAAACCAGATAGGAATGAACTGGGCTGTGGTGGGGTTATTGATGTACTTATTAAGTAAACTTTTTAAAAAGGAAAGACACTGGGAGACTGTCAACTGCTACATTCAATTAAGCATTTGATGAATGTTTATTATGAATGCTTACTATGTGCTCAGTGTTGTAACAAAAAATGAAACTTTAAGACATCCTACTTGTTGTCAAGGAGTTACTGTCTAGACACAGGAGTGATATAGTACAAGCAGATAAGCAAAATGAAAAGCACCATTTATACATTCAAAGAACTGAACTGGTAGTGCTGGGCATGTCAGAAACTGAGATACTAATCAGGCAAGGATGTATGTGCCTTGAAATGGCCATGAGGGATTTCTTAGGAAAAAGAATCTCTACACTGGGACCAGTGGTTCTTCAGTTGTGGGGTGCAATGGAGGGCATGCAGAGGGGAGAGAAAGGACAGGGCATCCCCGGATGGGATGGTCTGTGATGTGAAAATGCTCAGCTATTAGCAAATGGCTCACTTTTAGAAAACACTGACAAAAATGTAGATAAGAATGATTAATATATTTATAGAGTTTTGAATGTCAGAACCTCTAGATTGGATTTAACCTGCAAGTGACATATCACCACTATAAATTTTTAAGCTAAATACATAGATTTAGCCAGGCATGGTGGTGCAGGCCTGTAATCCCAGCACTCGGGAGGCTGAGGCAGGAGGATCATTGGGAGTTCGAGGCCAGCCTGGGCTACAAAGTGAGCTCAAGGTCAGCCTGAACTGCATAGCAAGACCTTGTCTCAAAAAAGACAAATAAATAAATAAATAAATACATACATACATACATACATACATAGGTTTTAGGAAGTTTAACTTGGTAATAAATGCAGATTTGATGGGAACCAGGCGCCATGGGTTAGAAAGCCACAGCTGTCACCCTGGTTCCAGTGTGGAACAGTACGAGGCTGTAGAAACACAGAAGTCCCGTGGGGAGCAAAAGACATTCTGAAACAACAACCAAGATCTAAGAGCAATCGTTACAGCTGTGTGTCAGAACAAGTGGCCTGGGGTCCATGGGCAGGGAAGCTTTGGGAGGAGGGAAGGAGGAAGAGAATAAAAGTAAGTCTAGAAACAACACAGAGATGAGAAGGACACCTGAAAGGGCTCCAAATGTAATGGAGAAAAAGATAATGACAAAGTAATGCAGAAAAAAAGGCATCTGTGAGGAAGGGGGAGAAGACCAGGTCAGGGGACCCTCCACATGCATGACACAAACTGTCCTGTTGTCTTCCAGAAACACAGACACGTCAGCAAGACCACTGCAAAATGCACGACTGAATTAAGTTATACAAACTTTTGAGAAACAGTGATCTAATATATGCCTAATACCCAAACCTGTGCATCTGTGACCTAGTTCTGTTATTACTGCCAGATCCAATAACCTTCCTCCAGGCCCGCATTTAAATTAGAAAATATAACCCTGCCATTTACTGCATGGGGGAAAAGTTTTTGACAAAGTCCAACAATCATTCATGATAAAAACCCTACAGAAAATCGGGATAGATGGTCTTTACCTCAACCTGATCAAAGCCATCTATGACAAACCAACAGCCAACATCATACTAAATGGACAAAAACTGAAAGGATTCACTTTAAAATCAGGAACAAGACAAGGATGTCCACTGTCACCACTTCTATTCAACACAGTTTTGGAAACATTACCCAGAGCAATTACACAAGAGACAGAAATAAAGGAATAAGGGCAGGAAAGGAAGAAGTGAAATTATCATTATTTGCAGATGACATGATACTCTACATGGAAGACCCCAAAAACCCCACTAAAAGACTTGTAGATTTGATAAGCAAATTCAGTAGTATAGCTAGATACAAAGTCAACACTCAAAAATCAATAGCATTCCTGTACACAAACAACAAACACACTGAGAGAGAAATTAGGGAAACCTTACATTTCACAACTGTATCTAAAAAACTGAAATACTTAGGAATCAATCTAACAAAAGAAGTGAAAGATCTATACAGTAAAAATTACAGTACTCTGAAAAAAGAGATTGAAGAGGATTTCAGAAAATGGAAAGATACTCCTTGCTCATGGATAAGAAGAATCAATATTGTGAAAATGGCCATACTCCCAAATTGTTATACAGATTCAATGCAATAGTGATCAAAACACCATTAGTATACTGCACATATCTAGAGAAAACATTCCTAAAATTCATCTGGAAGCAGAACAGACCCAGAATAGCAACAGCAATCCCAGGCAACAAAGGCAAAGCAGGAGGCATCACAATCCCTGACTTGAAATTATACTACAGAGCTACTGTGATAAAATCACCATAGTGCTAGCAAAAATCAGATGTGAAGATCAATGAAACAGACTGGAAGATGGAGCCACAACTACAAACCACCTTATCTTTGACAAAGGGGACAAACACGTTCAGTGGAAGAAAGATAGCCTCTTTAATAAATGTTGCTGGAAAAACTGGCTCACCACAAGCCAAAGACTAACACTAGACCTATGTCTATCACCATGCACTAAATGAAAGTCAAAATGGATTAAAGATCTAAATATTAAAATACAAACACTAAATCTACCAGAAGAGAAAGTAGATAAAAATCTTGAAGACATAGGGGTAGGCAGAGAGTTCATGAACAAAACCCAAACTGCATGGAAACACTTCAAAGAATCAACAACTGGGATCTCATCAAATTAAAAAGTTTTTGCACAGCAAAAGAAATCTCCAACAGAGTAAAAGGAAAGCCATGAATTGGGAAATAATTTTAGCCAACTGTCCCTCACACAACGGACTTCTATTTAGAACATAAGAAGAATTTTTAAAAAATCAGATCCCCGAAATTCAATGACCCAATCTAAAAATGGACAACTGAGATGAGTAAACACTCCTCAGATAAAGAAATACAAATGGCAAATAAAATACATGAAAAAATATTCAGTATTATTAGTCATTTGAGAAATGCAAATTAAAGCAACATGGAGATTCCATCTCACCCCAGAAACAATGACTGTCATCAAGAAATCAACCAGTAACAAATGCTGCAGGGGCTGTGGGGGAAAAGGAACCCTTCTCCACTGTTGGTGCGAGTGTAGACTAGAACAATTACTGTGGAAACCAGTGTGGAGATTCCTCAAAAAATTAGGATTAGAGGTCCCATTTGACCCAGCCATTCCCCTTCTGGGTATTTTTCCAGGAGAACTGAACCCACCATACCACAGTGATATATGTACATCAATGTTTATAGCAGTGCAATTTGTAATAGCTAAATCTTGGAAACAATCCAATTGTCCATCAACTGAGGAATGGATAAAAAAGATGTGATTTTTTTCATACAATGGAATATTACTCTGCTACAAAGAAAGGTAAACTCAAGGCTTTTATAGATAAATGGCTGCAACGAGAGGCTATACTCGTAAGTGAAATAAATGTGACTCACATTTGTAAACATTGTGTCGTCTCCCTAGTGTAAATACCTGAAAGAATAAATAAAATCTGAAAGGTACAGCAGATATTGTGAGAGGGAAAGAAACTGTTCAAAAGGAAAGAACAACTGAGATGAGGGAAAAGAGAAAAGAAAGGAGAGAAGGAAGGGAAAATTTTGAGTATGTATGTACACAAGATAGCTAAGATAATCACACTATTAATTTCTAGCAGTTTACTGAAAGGAGCAGTTAATGTGTAACTGTTTGATCAATTTTACATGCCTATGTCTGGGTATCTGAGGAACCACTGTGAAGATAACAATATGTAACAACAACCATTGTTAATTTTCTATCACCTTGTTTGAAATTCTGTATTGCTTTTGTTTTTTTGTGTTGTTTTATGTCTTTTTTTTTAATTTTGTTTTTGCTCTTTTCTTTTTAAAAAAAATATGAAAAAAATTACTGCATGGGATCTTAGGTGCCTTCGGGGCATGGCCCACCTCCTCCAAAGTTATAAATCTCTCCCAATCTGCGTTAGAATAAATTCTTCCTAGAGTTCTGCATGGCTGCCTATGTGTCTTGACTGAATTCTTTCATGAAAAGCATGCAGGACAGAGGGCTAATGGATGGTTCCTCACGTCATGGGGACCCCACTTCCCAGTAAAAAAAGATACTACCATGAAATGTACATAGTATCTGTTTATTAAATAGTACATTAACTCAAATTCTTATGTGTGGTGCTGATGACTGAGGATTATGTTATTTTCCTGAGTGTACAGGTGAAAAAATCTACAGGAGGTTATACAATTTGACCAAGAATACTAACCTGGTAAGTGGCAGTCAGGATCGGGCCAGGTCTGTTTGAGCAGAAAGCCTGAGCTCTTTGCTGGACCTCCCTGGCATTACAAACTCAGAACTAACATCCAGTATGAAGTTAAGAACTCAAAATAAAGTATTTGCACTGGACCACTTCCTCAGGTTATTTTTTTATTTTGAGACAGGGTCTAAGTTGCCTGGCTTGGGCTCAAACTTTTGATTCTCCTGCATTGCTTCCCAGAATGCTGTCAAAATCTTTAAAATATATTTGACGTTTAAAAACTGAAAGGTAGGTGTGGTGGCACACACCTTAATCACAGCTCCCAAGGAGGTTGAGACAGGAGGAGCACAAGTTTGAGCCCAGCCTGGTCAACTTAGTAAACACTTACCTAAAAAATAAAAGGGCTGAGGACATAGCTCAGTAGTAGATTGTTTGCCACACATGAACAAGGTTCTGGGTTCAATTCCCAGTACCAGACAGATAGATAGATAGACAGACAGATAGACAGATAGACAGACAGACAGGCAGGCCGGCAGGCAGGCAGATAAAAATAAAAATAAGAACAGTCAAAGAATTCAATCAACTGCTCATCACAGTATTAGCAGCTTCTAGCAGAGAAAAGTCAGTACTCACATTTGCGCCGATGCCTTCGCCACCCTCAGGGACTTTGGGAAATGCGTCATAGAGAGATGACACGTAAGTTATAACTGATTTTTCATCAGGGGAAGAGACATCGACATCTAAAACCAGCAACATAAATTATTTCACGATGTTGGTAAGTTATTTTCAATCAGACTTTCATCCAGTCCCTGCCTAGTCAAGAAAAACTTACCTTCAGGGTCCAGAAGTCTTATAACACCAATTTTTTCTGCTACATAAAAAGCATGCTCTAAATTTGCAAGGTTGCTTTGAACAGCAACAGTATTCATGTCTATCAGGTCCGGCCTAGGAAAAAAATTCACACAGTTAATGAAATGCTTTCACACGCCAGTTCAACCTTATCATTACACATATGTCTCTGAAACAACTTCCGTAAATCTTAAGACCAAGCCTGTGTTAAAGCACAAATTTTCTTCAAATAGTGAAGGTTACTTACTGCTCTCAGAAACTTGTGTGCTGGAAACAAACACAGCCAGAAAAGTCTAAAAATGTGGAAATATGCAGCTTTCAACCAAGTCTACAAATGCCTCACCCCTAGAATATACAGGAAGCACCTGCCCCACTAACCCAATTTAAGTCCCAGAACTCCAGTGGCACCCCACCGAGCCAGGCGGCCCCTCTCGGCATTTCTCCCGAACACCAACAGCTCCTGCTCTGCTCCACACCAGGCCCTGCGCTGCCCTTGGGATGCTCCTTCAGTGCTGTCTTCCACCTCAGAGTCACTCTTGTAGCAGAGGAAGCCGTGTCTCCCTGTGCATAGAGCTCTCCCTGATCCCCCACCCCGTTTCTCTGTTTTCCGAATCTCTTACACTCCAACTAAGTCACCAATGTGGCACTGAGGATGTAACCCTGTCCTTCCCTGACCTACTCAATCACGGTGTGGTGTACATGCACATCTTGTTTCTCTCAACTAGTCAACTATCCTCCTACTGACACGCACACACACAGCAGATGTTCAAAAAGTGTCTGGTAAGTTGGTAAGCAGATTGGTTAGCTGGTAATTTGAATAATAAATGGATGATGAATAAACATTAGCTTGCTTCATAAGTATGCATGTGCACATGTACTCTCACATGCACGCTCACTTGTGTATATGCCCATGCGCGTGCACATGCATGCACACACACAAATAGGGCTTCACCTTTTTCGAACTTGTGAAACTCACATGGTACTGTGAACTGGAGGGACGCCCTGAAGCTAGCCCCTATCTCTGTGAGTCAGGAACCGTTCCTCAACTACTCTTTGCACAGAAAGCAGTAAAACATGGCAGCTAGAAACATCACTCAAGGCCATCCAGAAGTGTGAAAACTACAGAAAAAGAGTAGCACCACCCCTAAACTCACTGAGTGAGACCTGTGTGTCAACTCCTAAACAACAGCTTTCCACCGTACCAGGCCACAGGCTCTCTGCCTTGCTGAAAAAAATCATTTGGGGAACCACAAAAAGAAGGCCTGGGGGGGTGGGCAATTCAATCTCAATAGTAAGGCCATTTACATGAGAGATTCTTGGAAAATGTGTCATTGATCATGTAGAACATTAAACAGCAGTTTTTATTCTTATTTTTATCTGGTGAGAAGGCAGACTTCCAAAGAAACACCTACTTACTACTTGGAAGTGCTCAGAACCTAGAAAGGTTTCTACCACTTTCTCCATGCTTATATTCCAGGAAATTTTGTAATGATTTTCATATGCCACCAACATCAAAAGTAATCCTACAAGAACAAGAAATCTCCTGAAAACAATAGAGGTCAATGAAAGACCTCCAAAAATAGTATTTTTAATTCACATTGAATCATGAAGAATCTGACAACACAAAAGCTACTAAACACGTGTGTCTAACAGTCTAGACAAAAACAAATAGATAAAATTCTTTCATTAAAAAAATTATTCTGTTTCCCTAGAGTTCACACGTTTTGGAGAAATAAAAACCAGGCTTTCTGAGTCTGCCAAATCTCCAACAAGAAGCAGCATGTTATTATGAGAACCCTACCATTAGCATAGAGAGTAAACACTGAGTAATCCCAGAGGGAATGAATAAAGTCATTGAAGAATCAAGTTTTTCGACCAAGGGGATAAAACATAAAACTTCCTTCAGAATGACATCGTCATTTCAGCACAAAAGCAGCACGATACAGTGAGCTTAACTAAGTCTGTTCTTTTATTCTGATCTTTAACGCTTCAGAGGAACAAACGTTGAGGTATTTTTCCTAAATTAAAAGGCTGTAGTAAGATTCATTAAATAAAAATAGAAAGGGGGGACTGAAAAGCAATAGCCTGAACGTCTTGAGAATCCTGTGGCTGCCCTGGCCCCTCCGAGCCGGTGCCTCCGACTCTCCATGCACCTCTCCTCTCGGGGCTGGAGCACCAAAGAGGCCATGCGGGTCCTCTGCCCCTCTTCAGTCTCACTGGACAACACAACCTGCCCACACCTTAGCTGTTTTTCACATACAGAAGATGTTTATTTTCATTCTGAAGGTTTTATTTCAATGTAACATCTCCTTTTCATAACAGGTTAGCAGAAAATCTCACTGCTATCATAGATTGAGTGTTAGACTAAACTGTAGGTACATACAAGGCCATGGCCATGTTCTTGTACTGTATTTTAGACAGCTGGCTATTAACTACTCTAATGTCCCTATTTTACAAAACTTTCCCAAATCAGAAAGTGTAATATTTGAAGCCACTCTCTCATTTTAAATTATTCTACGTAATGTAATCTTTCTAATGACTCAATCATAGTGATTTTTAAAACCACGTATTTATAACCTACTTTTTCATTTATAAATCATCAAAAACACCTTCAAAAGAAGTAAAAATACAAGAAGACAGCATGAATTTTTAAAAATACTGTATAAAACCAAGAGAAAGCTATAAACTGAAGTTCAAAGTGATATCACAAGGTGTAAGCCACTAATATACATGCTGAATACTAAAACTGAACCTGTACTAAAAATATAGAGTAAAAAGTTATCTTAAAATGGCTATTGCTATAATACAAAACTATTTTGATTATAAGTAATGTTTACTCTCATCCCTCTTACAACACCCACCTTAAAATAGTGTTCTCCTTGGACAAAATATAGGTATACATATATATGCATACATTAATTACATGCATATGTATACATGTCAGCATTTACGTATATGTAGATGTACATGTGGACCTAAGTTCATACAGTGTAAGAGCAGTTCCATCTACATTAATAGGCAAAGCTGGCTTAACATTAAAATTGCATAGAAGAGCTTTTTGGAGGGTACGTAACCCCAAAATATCTTTCCAGTCAAACACTGCATTAATACATTAACTCACAATGGGTGGGATTCTGCGGGGAACTGAGACTGACACAGTATTAATAGCTGAAGACAAGACTACCTAAGACTTTCATGTTCTATCATGCCAAATACCAGTGCACTCAGTCACAGGGAACATGAAACAAAGTTAAACTATTTGGAAAGAAAGTACCCAGACACATACTGCAGAGGACAGTGATTAAAGTCAGCAGGAAGGAAAACTGAAGTTAGCGAAGGGAAGAGTACATTAGTACTGACACCAGACTATAAACCTGGGCTGAAACTGGGGCAACAGCTCCAAGGTCAGGTAAAAGAAATGTCAACAGTCAAGGTCCAAACCAGGGGTATTTTTTTAAACACCCCCAAATTAAATGACCTAATTCAGAGTTTGTTAGGTTCTGTCTGCTCCCAACCAGCACTCAGTAACTACCTAAGTGGACAGAAACAGAGTTTGACTGCTCATCGAACTCCCTTCCATGTCTGAGAAACTTTTCTCTTGCATGTCTTAGGGGAAGGAGAGAGATTTAAAAGCATTTCATTTAGTCTCCTCAACAACCCTCAGCCACAGGTTATGTTACTATCCTGAGTTTGCAGGTGAAAAATCTACAGGAGGTTATACAAATTGACCCAGGATCGGGCCAGGTCTGTTGGAGCAGAAAGCCTGAGCTCTCTGCTGGACCACCCTGGCATTACAAACGGAGACGGAGAACTAACATCAAAAAGCAAGCTAACAAATCAACATAAAGAAATGTAGAAAAATGTATGCGCCTGGGGGAAATGATAATAATAATGATCATAATAAGAAATACAAGACAGAGCATGCATGCGTGCATGCACGTTTCCATGCGTGTGTGCATATGTCCTGACAGGCTAACAGGTAAGCCATAAGAAATAAGATGAAGGGCCAGACTGTTATCAGAACAGTACTCACCAGTATATACCATACCAATGCTTCCCAAGGTTAGAATGGTGTTAGGGCCCTAACAGATTAAGGTCAGAGAGAAAAGCCTGGTTACCTGCATTTTAACAAGGGCGATTCTTATCAGGTCAATCTTATCAGGCAGGGTTGAGGACTAAACCATGTTAAAATCTATCATTCTAATATTCTTTTCAAATTATAAACATTTTGTATTGGCAAAGAAAAAAACCAAAACAAATAAACCATAGCACCAGCATATAATCATGTAACAATGGAAACAGAAACACAAAATGCACAAAACACCAGCGTGCCTATCGCCTTATTTCCTCAGCAACAGACAGTGCCCCTTGTAACTCTTCTCCAGGATTTATTTTTATTGTTTAAATCCAAAAGAAACAATACACTTAGTGTCAGTTGGGGGAGGACAGCTTGTGTTGGCCTCACTTTGGCATACACTGTAAAATTATGAAGTCTGGAAAAACAGCATTTCATCACAAAGTTTTAAAACTCACCATAATAAAAACTAATTAAACTTTGTGAGTTATCTGAACGAAGAACACTAGGTAATCATTTCCTACCTCAATCTCTTAATAAAGAAGTAGCAGAAGATGGGTTTCCAGGCCCGGGTTGGGAGGAGGCTGGGGAACTAGCATTGGATGGGTGCTGAGTCTCAGTCACTCAAGATGAATGAGTTCCAGAGTCAGTGGTGACGGCTACACAGCAGTGTGAGTGTACTGAGCACCAGCCACTAACCACACACTTAAAAAGACTGTGGAGGCACATTTTATGTTGTGTGTATCTTAGCACAAATTTTCTTTAATTTTCATAAGATAATTTTTAAAAATTTGAGAAAAGGGCTCTATGGAGATAGAACAGCAAAAACAAAAACCTCACACAACAAAAACCACCAAGCTGCTTCAGGTGCCCTGTGCTTCAGCCCTAACTTGCTCTCTAGTTGACTGGGATAGACATCCTACTACTTGTGTCTCAATTTGTTCTAAGAAAAGTAAAAAATCAGGAACCATAGAAGCTACACCAAGATCCCACAGAATTCACTTCTACCTAAGGAGCCTCA